TTGTACAAAGAACTCAAAGTAGCTTACATTCTCCTCCTCCTGCTGCTCTCCAGCTTATCACCACAACAAGCCTGTGAGGTAAGGTTGGGCTGAGTCTGTGACTTGCCCAAAGTCACCCAGTTGGCTCTGGCTCCATGGACGAGTGGAGATTAGAACCCAGATCACCTGAGTCCCAGTCCAACACTACACCATTCTGGCTCTCACACCATTTCTGGCCTGGGCCCTTGAGCCTCACCTTTTAGGCCTTTGAAGAGCCCTATGAAAAAGCCATTCCTTAAGTCTAAGCAGGTAGCAGTAACATTTATGGGCTGCCAGATGGATTGTTCCAGATTGTTCCAAAGGCTTCCAAAGGCATTATTCTTTTTCCTTGTAAATAAATATATCCTCTACCTTGAGAGTTGCCTTATTATTATATCTAGGGACTTCTGCTTTGCTAATTGTTACTATGGTTTGGCTTGGACCTTTGGAGCAGGGTGAGTCGAATTGAAACCCCATCCCTTAAGCCTCAGGAATGTCTAAGAGTGCCCCAGGGGCCAGGGGGAATGGTGGCAGCTTCCCTTGGCACTTGTCTGTCCCTCCCTACACTCACAAGGGGACTCCTAGAAAAGGGTGACTGGCCAGTTGTCAGTAACATCATGGTAATGGAGTTCCCAGCAGAAGTTAGACTAAGTCAGTCTTCCTCAGCCCAGTTCCACATGCATTGGATTACAACTCTTTGCCTGCCGTGCCACATGGCCAATTCAAATTCACGTTCTCCAATTTTCATTTCTTTTTTGTGATCACTGTTGCAATGTCCATACCAGCCTGCAATGTAGCTTTGACTATGCCCACACCTTTCCTTCCAGTGCTTTAGTGCCACAGGGAAAAAGCAAGGCATTCAGAAGGAGTCGAGGGCATTTTGTCAGCAGCAATCCACCTTCCTTTTCTGGAAGTGTACAGGGAAATCCAACTTCAGATTTACTATAGCCTACAGAATGGGGTCACATTGACTGCTATCTCACAGGAATGTTTATTTCAGTAATCCTACAAGCAGTAAATATTGGCCGGTTGGCATCATAGGCTGGAAAAACAACCTAAAACATGAGCCTCAAATTAAGATTTTAATGCTCCTTCTGAACCAGTAACACAGTTTTGAGATGATTTGCTGTGCTGTTGAGCAGCCAGCACTGTCCTGCAAGAGCTCTGCTTTGCTCCAGTTACTCACATCCTGCCGACAGATGTGCCCTTCTACAAAACAGGATCTGCAATGATGCCTGACCCTTCTTAACAGCTCTTTCAAGTGCAGCTTTCTTAAGCTTTCTCCTCTACTTTCAGATCAGTGATAGTGGGAGGTGTAATCCAACAATGCCTGGCCATCCAAAGCTGAGAAGTATTACGTAGATAAGACCCGTACTGCTTCCTGGCAGGCATTCTTCATGTTGCCTTATTCTTAACACAACTCCAAAACTGGAAATGCTGGCTGAGAATGATGGGAGTTGCAGTCAACTCACATGGAGGGCATCAGAGCAGGGAAGGCTGGTCTAACCCCTGCATACAGGTGCCTGGGTGGTTACAGCATGCCACTGTGTATGGCTGTATAATTATATTTATTTCACTGTTTTAATGGGATCACAAAGGCAGCCCCAGTTGCATTTACTTTTGAATCATAACACCCAACAAAATCATATAAAATTTTGCTTTGAGAAGCGTTGAAGCTTGAAAGGGAACGTTATTCAACTAAATGCACTACTAGCCTACTCTAGTTGCAGCGTGTTGAAACTATAGTGTCCTCTGGTTGTGCATTATTGGTACAAGTAAGAACATATGTGTGCATTACCTGTCATGGGTTGCTCTAGGTGGTGGTGAGGGAGAGGGCCAGGTCAAGCCTGGGGACCTGCTAAAGGAACACCTCTCAGCAGGTGCGCAGTGACAAGCGCCTCCTAGATGTGCTCCTCCTCTTTCCTTTGCATCCTGTTTCTTCACCCACCACACACCCTGGCCCAGGCAATGGTGGTGCTGAGAACGTGCAACAGGTGCTACTACATCCTTGTAGAACTGGCTGTCTGTCAGTAAAGCAAGCAACAGCGATGGAAAGAAAGTGGGGGCAGAGCACTAGCAGCTGGAGACAATTGTGGTGAGAAGGTAGACCCACTAATGGTTTTGCCCAACAATACTCAAAGGCCTGAAGCCAGCACTGATGGGTTCTTGTAACTGAAGTGCAGGCTCTCCAAGTCTTCCCGAACATTTGCATTCTTGGTCAATACTTCCACACATTTCTGTAATGGCAAGTGATGATGTCACTGGCCATTACCTGCTCCAAAACAAGTAAAATTATATTTGGCCAGTGATAACTTCTGGTAAGTGAATGGAACAAGAGATATACACAGTTTAGGTTTCTGTATGCACAATCTCTTCTTCCATCCATTAGTGAGAGAATGTTTTCTAAACAAACTGAGCTATTAACGGGCAAAAGTTTCATTTTCTGGGCCAGTGTGGAAATTGTTATAACACAGATATATTATGTTTCCTATATCCTCGGGAGAGGTTGGTATAAAAATAGGAAAGAGAATAGCCTGGACAAATGCACAGGCATGCAGGGGAACAATAGTAGGCTGAAAGTAGAAAGAGAGGAAAGGAAGACTATCAATTTGTCCCTTCAAGGAACTGTAAGTGACTAGAAAGGGGGCTTAAAGGGAAAGAAGGCAGAAGGTAAATAGGGATCTAGTGATATTGTTCTGGCGATTCACAATAGATCACCAGTACTTTACACCTCCCAGTTGCTTAATGAAAGCAAGGAAAATTACAAGTTTAAAAAGTCTCTGCTTAACTGGCCTTGTGGTCATTGCTTAATCTTCCTATATCGATATTCCTCATCTGCAAAATAAGACTATTGATTGGCTGCTTTGGCCTATTTTTGTTTGGGTTTGCTGGTCAATTTTAGAGCATTTTTTTTTTTTTTTTAGAATTACTGATTTCTGGTAACTCACGGGTAGATCTGTATATATCCAATTCATGGAGTACGGTAGATCAGGGTGCCAAAATATTTGGTTTCAATCCAAGGTGAGTGGCACCTACTTTGGCAAAGAGCTGATTGTTCCAAACCACGCTGATAGCATGGTTATAAAGAATCTTATCAATGCTGTTAATAAACAAGAGAGAGCTGCCTTGAACATTTTAATGAAAAGGCAATGGTATAAGTATCTTTAAAGAATGAAATGAAGGAGGTGTGAGAGAGAAACCTTGATGTTGTCAACAAAGAAACTGGGGGGAAACTAAAGGAGCACATTCTAGAGAAGGTTGATAAATTTGGGAGACTATTTTGTCCCCCTGGTAGGTCATGCTGGCCTTTATTCACTGTGGCATGATAACAAATAAGGAATGGCATCTGGAGTGTTAAAGGTTCAAATTAGTTTGTTAAACTTACATTTTTGCTAACTGAACCTTTATTTAAATTTGTGTTTGATTATATATACTGTGTTTTATCTTGTTCATTTATTGTACTATTTGAACTGTATTATTTTATGTAATGTTGTTATTTACATTTTTATTGTAATAGCCACCCAGAGGGCATGATGCTAAAGGGAGGCTTTTATACAAATTTAATAAATAAATAAGCCCTCAATATTTGGGGATATCAGCTACCTTTGCATGCTTGATACGCCGGGGGGTGGGGGGCCATCACAGGGAACGGATATCACCATCATGCTTGGCTTGGAGAATTTCATGGGTATCCAATGTTCTTAGGAACAAACGGAATGGTGGGATAATTAATGTGGTCAGACCCAAAAGGGAATGCCTATGTTTTTAAAAGTAGAAAAGGATAAAGGGAGGCACCGAGAGAATGAATGATGAAAAGTGGAGCCATGAATCTGAGCCTTAAGTTACAGTATTAAGTGTAACTTTAAATTCAGAGAAAAATATTGAACTCGGATGGAAACTTTTAACACAGATAGATTTGTTCATACATGTTCGGTCATGTATCCTTGTTAAAATCCAGATGCAGTAGTATGAGGAGCTGCTGCCACCATCAGGTCACTCTGGAGGCGAAACAAAACCATTTCAGCCTTTTGGAAGCTGTGCCTGGAAACTGCTATGCTGAACTCCCCACAGCTCAGAGCAACCAGGTGTGCACCGACACAGTGCGCCAAAGGTGCGATGCGTGTTTGTTCAAGAGGTTTCACTGTGTGCATTGGTGCCTATCCCTATTTCAGTTTGCAGCTTATCTATTGGACTTTTCATGCAGGAGCACTAAAATTGATCTAAATTAGTCTAACTGTAATAAATACATTTAGTCTAAATATAATAAATAGCAAACACATTCCTATTCCTATGTTGGACCTATTGGTTTTATATAGTAAATGCCACAATAAATCTACTTATATGGGATTAGTATGCCTAAGAAAATAACATTCTCTAGAAATTATAATACTTATTTTGCTTATAGTTCTCCTTGGGTTGTATAAATGAATCAAACAAGGATAGCTAGATAAACTGGAAAGGCATTGTTTGTGGAAATTAGTAAGCTTCTACATGCAAAGCAATTAAATCACACCACAAAAGCTGTGAAAAGCTTTGCTGAAGGGTTTCTTTGGGGCTGGTATTAGCAACATAAACACTATCTAGCATGGGATTAAGAACATTTGGCCCCAGTAGTTACTTCTATTCTGTATTGTAAAGCTTCGTTTATCATCACTTTTGCAACATCGTACCCATGGCAAAAGGGCACTGTGCATCAAGTCATGGCCTCTTGATACTTCGATGTTCATAGCACAAGACTTGCTCGATTAGATTTGCTGTTTGTTGGAAGACACCATCCCAAGAACGCTTAGACAGAAAAAAGGCTTGCAACTCCCAGCGTGTCCCAGCTTTATTTAATGAGCCTTTGCACATTAAATAAGCCAATTGTGGCCATTGAGTAGAAAGGTGAAGTCCAATTTTAAAAATCCAAACAAATAAATTAGGACTGCACCCTCCAGGTATTAGGCAGTATTAGGAACGAGGGAAAATGTGTTTGGTTCACATTTTAATGCAAACTTCCTTTATTTTGCAATTTCAAACCAATATATAAAAGTCAATCACCCATCAAAATTAACATATCTCCAAATTTTGCAGTGCAGCATTCCAATTAAAAATGTGTTCAAAGAGGCATATATTGGGGGAAAGTGTACAAAAATGTTTTATTACAAAAATGTAAGTGGAAATCAAGTTCTGAAATGCATTAAATTAGAAAATTTGCTTCCAAAAAATAAACATAGTAGGCAAATAGCACACAACAATGCATGAATTATGAGTGTGAGAACCACTGATGTTCAAGCTTGTCAAGTTGTCAATTTTCCCATTTTTGTTCTCAAGCACAGGCATTAAAAAACAAAAGTGCACATTCTCACAAGAAAAATGCACATTTCTTACAGAAGCACACTTACCTGCCTCTGATTAAAGTGTGAAAATGCATCCTTTTCTCAAAGAAATGTGAACATTTTAAAACACCCAATTTTCACAAGGACACATTTTGCGGATACAATTGCAAACTTAAGAATATTTGAGATTTTCCTGAAAAATGTGGTCACATTGGGGCCTGGAATTATGGCACATTTTGCTGTTTTTCAAACTGAAATGAAATTTTTAAACATCCCTTACTGTGCACAGCAATGCATATGAATTTTCATGTGAACTTTAACATATAGATATATATTCTTCCCATTTTGGATCACTCAAACTTGACATTCTAAAAAGTCTCTAAGTTCAGGATGAACTGAACTTAAGACTGGTAAACTAAGAAACTGAAAGTGAAATTGGCAGATTCGTCGATCCTCGGACATTACAAGACTGAGCCCAAACAAATGCACAGATGGGCCCTTCCATTAAAAAAATACCATATAGCCAATGTCTGCTTGACCTTTCTGACCATTCTCTCACACATTGATTTTTTTCCTGCAAATCTCCATCGAACCAGATGTTTTAAAGGATCATTTGTTTTACCAGCTGGTTTCAAAACAGAAGAAAGATTAGCTATAAAAAAGCTGAGCAAAGTTTTGCCCAAGATACCTGGGAGTCCAGGGGAAGTTTAAGCAGCCCTTCCTTCAACAGTCTTGGTTTGTAAATGTTGCCCTCCTCAGCTTTCTACAAAGACAGAACTGGGTCTATGCATCTGCTGAAAAAACACAACAGCTCTAGCCAAAGTGGGCACCTTTTTTTCTGCCAAGGGTCACATTCCTTTGTGAATAATCAGTCAGGGGCACTTGCCTGTGATGGGAAGGGACAGACCCAAAATTGAGTAGATCACCCCCTTTCTTCTTCTGCATTCCTTTTCCTCTCTCCTCCTCTTCCTTCCAGCAGGCTGCCAGGGAAGGGATAGACCTGCGTGCAGAAGGCTTTTGAAATTAAGCCAAGGGCCACCAGTGGGCAAAAGCAACAGAGGAGAACATGCTTTGATGCAAAGATCACGCCTAAGAATTGTAAGGGGTTTTGGGATTTTTATTTTGCCACATTTCGGTCAATTTCTGATCATTTCTCCAAGAACCCATTGGCTCTGAAGACAGCAACTGACAGGTAGTCTCTACCTGGGGGAGCCTGCAAGAACAATCCTAGAAGAGGCAAGAGAAAAAGCCTTGGAGAGTTTCAAAGCTCTCTTTACCCATCCTATAGGAAAGAGGGTAACACAAAAGAAACTGCCTTCTGCTGAAATTCTCCCAGCTACCTGCAAGAATCTCTGGGACAACACTTGCCAGAGATTCATGCAGAATTTCATGCAGCTCAACTTCCCACGACCCCTTTCACCAGAGAGGCTGGGAAGCCAAAAAGGGATCTTCTGCATGCAAAATATCTAGTGTTCCTGAGTTCTGACCTTCTCCCCTGTACATTTGCTAAAGATTCAGGCATCTCAAGTAAGGTGGAATTTCAGCTGAGAGGTCCAAGGGTACTTGCTGAGGACAAATACTATCCCTGTGGTCCAAGCAGTGAGACCAATGGAGAGAAGCGGTGAGTTATTCAGTATTAATTGAGAACTGGAAGCTACAGAAAAGAATGAACCCTCAAAGAATGAGCCTCTCTGCAGCACGGGTACCGAGATAAACAGGGTGGAGGTCTCCGAGTTGAAGAAGGTTGTAATAGATGCTCATGACTGGTGCAGGAATTTCTGTATGTTGGTCACATTTGGTAAGCTGTCGGGGTTTGGGCTGGACAGGAGAAGAGCACTGTATTTGTATAAGTAGAAAATAGTGCCCTTACTACTTGGAAAGGCAGGAGCCTCACAAAAGAGGCACAGTTCTGGAGGAAGGCATGCTAACTCTAGGCAACAAATGCACCCTTACTGCTGTGGCAGAGCACAACCTAACATTGCGAGAACACCTCTGTGGCTATATGATGGAGAAGGAACTCTTGGACAAGGGTTTCAAAATTGTTTAGCATAAATTATAGCAAACAAGATATTTTTTCTGAAGTTATGTTTAAATCATCAAAAGAAATACAATACTAACCTTATGATATGTTCCCTATATTAGACCAATATTCTACTGTTATTAATAATCATCATTTTGTTGAATTTTGTTATACAAAGATAAAACATCAGTGAACAAAAGTCTAGTGTAACTAAACAAAGAACTAATTTGCCCCTCTTAGGTGCTATCCTCAGTTTGTCAAATTTTGGAAAACAAATGTTACATTGTCTTTTATTCTTTCAAGGAAAGGATCGGGGAGGTCCTCATGATCCACAGAAAAGTGTTTCCACTGTATCAGCTGTGACATAGATATGGATTTCTTGGAGGAAGATTTCATATTGCTTTGGCCAAGCTGCCATTCATGTTGCTCAGCGAGTTTTTCTGGAGGACCTGAAATAAATAACAGGGGGGAAAGCTGGGGAAGTATACCAATTGCCAAAACAAAATAGTATTTGGGACAAAGCATGATATGAATATTCAGAATCAGAGAGGTGGGATCACGGGAGAGTCCTTGATTTGTCCTTATATGACCTGGCTCAGATTTCACAAGCTGCAACCCCCAAGGTCTTTATTGACGCCCTGCAAAGACCTTTACTGCAGCTCCCAGCTGAATCCGACTTGCTCATATTCCCTGTTGCTCCACCTGCTCCCTGTCCCGACGATCCCCATACTGGTCATCCTTTCTCCACCTCAGTGAGTAGCAAAAAAATGAGCAATCTGCTGGAGGATTGTCAGGGTGTGCGTGCCCAAACATGTCCCCATGCATTTGTGATGGGGACTGTGCATGTATCTGTAAGTGTGTATCGGTGTGCATGCACTCATGCATGTGTCTAGCCCCTCACCCTTGCACCAGCATGAGCTGCAGCCCCAGGGCCAAAAAGATTGTGCTCCCAGGAAGTAAGTAGGTGTGTGAGTGAGAGGGAATGCACAAGAAGGGTCCTGTGGGTTCAACCCCAAATCAATCTGACTATGTCATTTATTTTACAAATGTATGTAATGCCTAACTGCAAACTATGCCAGGTTGGTTGGCACTCAAAAGCAAACAGTAAACTAAACAATAATGAGTAGCCAAAATAATAAATGCAATAATGAAATGTTTAAAATGCAGCTAGTCCAGCATCCTGTTTCCCGTGGGGGTCAACCAGATATCTCTGGAAAGCCCCCAAGCTCCAACTGTCCTCTCCCGCTCTCGATCTCTGGGAACCAGTGCAACAGACAGTCTTCCTCAGATCCTGGAGGTGACCTATAGCCATCAGGACTGGTGAGACAGACGGCCTTGCCCCCTGTGAATGTGTCTAATCCCCCTTTAAAGCCTTCTCAGATAGTGACTGTCGCCACAGACGGTGGCTACAAATCCCACAGGTCAGAGCTGCTGAACCTCTTTCGGCCCATGGGCTAAATCCCCACTTTAGAGAAGCTCTTGGGGTTGCACTGCAGTGGCGGTTCAGGCTGAAGGCAACACAAAATATGACAGCATCCTGTAGCTTAGAACTCTTGCTGCCAGACATGAGGTCTTAAGCAGCACTGTTTGTCCTTCTTTTAAAAATGGGGGGAAAACTGCACAACACACGGCCATGCACAGTGAAGAGCCCAGTCTCCAGTATCAGCTGCTGAGAAAGCAGGCTGCTTGAAATCCTGGAAGTGGTGCTGCCAGTCAGTGCTGACCACACTGAGCTTGATGGGCCAGTGATCTTCTTCAATGACTGGCTTCAGAAAGCACCGCAGCTCACGCTTAAGGCTTGAGAGGGCTGGTCGTTGAACTCTGGGGTGTTCTGGAACCATGGGTTATCTTGCTGTCTGAACCCGGTCAATGTAAGATAATTTCCTGTGCCCCTGTGGAGCAGATGTGAGCATCTAAGGAGCACAGGAAGCCAGAATTAGCCCATAGGCATGAGATTCTCCAGCCATTGTAAGTGAGCTGTGCGGTGTCTGAACAAGTACTCTTTTTGGCCCATCCTGAATTTCTATGTGTTAATTACAAATTTTCACACACAAGGCATTTGTTATGCACTCATGATTCCTTACCCATGGTTGTTCATGGGCCCCTTGGACAATGCTGTAATCCTCCTGCTTCTCTTTTGTTTTTTTAAGGAACTTTCCCTTTTTTAATGGGGAAAATGAGATATCAAATTACAACTGAGAACATGGCACTCTTTCTCCTGGTGCATTTGTGCTATTTGGATATAACACAGTTCCACCCAGAGGCTGTGTAATGAAAAAGCAGGAAAAGAAGTGGAAAGAATTTTCTGTATCAAGTTCAGATCTCAGTGCTGCAATGAAATTGGAAGTTGGTACAGCTTCATGCAGAAAAGCTCTATGATTAAAACCAACTTTTGCACAAAGGCATAGCTGAAATGCATCATAAAGACATAACTTGCTGTTTTAAATCCAAGTACTCCTGAAATTTAGCACCCATTTGAGTTTCTGCAAACTACCCGAAACAAAAGGCAGAGTTAGATCTAAAATTGTACACCAGCATTTGAGAGCCAAGCCAGGAGAAAAGGAGAAACAAAACTCACCTTGAGCATCTTTCTTCCCCATACATTTACATTCCAGCAGATCGTGGGTGACAGAGCTGGAATCTTCATGCAATATAAAGAGATTTCTAAGCTCTTCAATAGAAAAACGGATATGTTCTTTTCCCTTGGCAAAGTCTACAACAGCTCCAGAGAGCCCCTGCTTACTGATCTGCCTCTGATAGATTTTCTCTTCTATTGTACCTACATTGAAGAAAGCATATACACTGAAAGACTTCTAGAAACAATGGCCTAAAATGTTTTTTTAAAGTAAAAAACCCAGAACTTCTGATTCTTAAAATGTCTGTATTCAAAGATGCTTGGAAATAATTCAGGCTTATCCCAACCTGGCAACCCCAGCTGGCTGGGGATGATGGGATTTGTAGATCATTTGGAGGGTGCAAGGTTAGGAGAGGCTCTGCCAATTCAGAATGCAGTTACAATGTGGCACACCTGTTGTTAGCAGCCTGTAAATATGGACTGTCCGTTTTTGTCCGTCTCGCCAAACTCTGGCCATTGCCTAGAAGAGAATGAGAAAGCAACGATTATCGGGCTGGCCATTCTACCTGTTGTGCTGGGCAACACTGTGGCATCAGTTTTGCCTATTTACATTTGTTCCCCACATCGCTTGACAGCGTCCCTTATGGCCAGGCTCTTACAATACTATCTTTATGATTTCTTTACCCCTCCCCCCTCAGTTGTCCGACACCCCCACCAACCTCTTTCCTAGCAGAGCTTTGAAATGTGTGACTGCCCTGCATCGTAGCCACTGTTTTTCCCAACATCTCATTTTCATATCAGCTGCTTCCCTCGCGATGGCCAGTCACCAGCAGGTCCATCTTCCATTGAATTAATGAGGAAAACAGCTCATCTTTCTAGAATGGGTGTGCGTGCATGCAGAGTAACAGCTGAGATCCAAAGGACAACTTTGGTGCGCGAGAACCAAAGCATGCCCAGTGATGTTCCGTTTGCACTTCTTTGAACCGCAGGACACAGCGGCACATCACACTCCTCTTCATGTCCCTCCATTTCCAACAGTTCGCTTCATTGTCCAGGTGTGCAAAACTGGCTGCTGTGTTTATACGGGGTTGGGTGGGGGGTCAGCCAGGATCAGCTGATAATGATCACCACGTTCCCCTGCTAGCACTGCTACCATGACTTCGATTCTACTTAGACCCATCTGCCGAGTGACAAGGTTGCCGAAGGGCATATCAGGGGCCCAGCTGGAACCTGTATTCAACCAGCTAGTCTTAAAGTAACACTCGTATGATGGTTGGCAGGGGAGCATTTGTCTATTCAGTTAATGTGGACTTTGAACACATCCGCAATTTCCTGTGTGGATATAAGTGAAACCTTTGCAACAGAAATACACTAATTTCATGGCTTTTCATCTTGCATCCTTTGTTCAGTATGTCCAGGGCACAGCATATAAAATAATCTGATCTAAATGAATCTTTGAACAAAGGATCTGCATCGTTAAGGGCTACTGTTAATGATGCCTGATACTAAAGGCTTTTCAATCTCAATATTAAAGAATTGCAGCAAACCTGGATATCAGTGGCTGGATTCCAATCAATATCGTACAGGATTAAATGGGATGCTCCAATGAGGTTCAGACCCACACCACCGGCCTTTGAACTCAGCAGAAAGATGAAGGCTGGGCAGAATTTGCCATTAAAAGCATCAACAATCTGTTGTCGCTGGGAAACAGGAGTGTTGCCATCAAGCCTTGTATAGCAATAGCCACTACGTTTGCACACCTCTTGCAATATATCCAATGTTTGTGTGTAATTAGACACCAGAACAACTCTGTGGATCCAGAATACAGAGAATCTGTCACTCGCCAATCAAGATCCTTCATGTATAACTTGAGTCTTCTACACACATGCAATGTGAGCATATACCACAAATGACAGTTTGCATTGAGGTTGGTTTGGAGTTAAAAATGCTAAGTGCAAGCACAACTGTTACTACTGAACTTCATGCACCAGGAGCTGGCCTACCATGGGAGCCAGGAGACTGAGCTATGAATCAGTACATTGCTGGTCTGAACCTTGCCTCTGCCATGAACACATCAGGTGAGCTTCCACAATCCTCACTCTCTCAGTCTTGGTCTCTCACCAACCTTAATATGGGGGTGGATAATAAAACTCGCTGCCTTACACAGTTGTCACAGTAACTAGAACTGGATAAGGGATGCAAAATGCTTCAAACACTTGAAGCAATATATAAATGGTTGTCACCATCATCATCATTACTGACTTCTTAATAGCAAATTCTATGTTAAAAGAGAAATCATTAGTAGAGTTCCTTAGAGAATATTCCTGTGGTATATTTTATAAAGTAGTTTTGCCAGTGACAGGAACTTTGAGTTTGTGCTGCAGAAACATCCAGGGGACAGGAGTCCTGAGTCAGCATAAGGACAAGGAAGTTATGCTGGACAAATCAGACAATCATATGAATAGCACTAAGGTAGAATGTCATGGAAAGTCTGCTTAGGGCAATGGCTAGAATGATGGAGTCCTGGGTCCACATCTCTACTCAGCTATGCATCGCACTGGGTAGCCTAAGTCAGTCACTGTATCACAACCTAACCTAACCTGTTGTGGTGATAAAATATGGTGGCAGAGAACCATGTGCACTGCCCTAAAATGCATGGAGGGAAAATGGAAGACAAATGTAATGGATCATGAATGATTATAAGTTGCCAAAAGTCTACAAAGGCAGAAAAAGCCCTGGCTTCAGTGTAACATTGATAAGAACTTTTACTTGCATCAAAATGTTTATTATGGTGATTGTTGCCCAGAGAACTTCTCTTATGAGGCAGCTATCTGAGAGAGAGAGAGGGAGGGAGGGAGGGAGGGAGAGAGATACAAAAAAGGGCAGATAATAAAAGTCTGGACAAATCAACACTTTTTTACCCTAACAATACATGCACATTAAATCATCTGGGCATTAGAACAAGAAATTATTTCATTTGGGAGTCTGCACATTGAACATTCTGATGAACACCAAGATACAACAAAGAGAAGCAAGAGTTAAAACGTCAAAGTAAAAAGGCTCAGTAACATTGTAAGAGACATGCCAATACAGCACAATGACTGGAGCTTTTTCAAAGCATTTTCTCACAAAAAGGCAACTGCGTGCTGGTAACAGTCCAATCTTAGACATTTTGACTCAGAATTGTGTTCTGTTCAGTCCCGTGGGGCTTGCTCCCAGGGAAGAAGATACAGAATTGAAACCTAAATGACTCTCTACATAGAACACATTGCACAGTCAAAAAAGTTCTCTGTACAGGGAAGAGCTCATAGACGATATTCATTTTTATGGAACCTTTTTCAAAAACTGGACATATTACAACATGCTACCTAAACTGCAATTATGGTTAGGGCAAACTATCAAGAAGGGATTCAGTGAGGTTTTTTGTTTGTTTGTTTTGAGGCTGATGTTACTAGAGTTGCTATTTTTAATATTTAAAATGTTTTAATCTGGTTTTCTATTTTGTAACTTTTATTGTTTGATTTCTTTGCTGTGAGCTGTTTAATTTTCTGAGAAAGTGAGGATAAATATTTTTTTAAAAACTAAAGGGAACTGACTGGGGAAATGCTGGGAAGGGCAATAATTTTTCTGTCTACACATGGATAGGATTATTCCTTAAATAACTGAGGAAGATAGATATAATGTCCCATTCCTCTAAATGTGTTTCTTTTTATAATGTTCCTATTTTTCATTGTAATAAACAACAAATAAGAAATTGGCCTAAACCCTATGCAATGAAATAACTGCTCCTTAATAGAAATATATCAGTAAAAACAGTAAGAAGACAACTGCTGACTCAAAGCTGCATTGGCACAAATTTCCTTCTTAACGAATTTGAAATAGTCAACGAATTATTACATTGCAGAGTGGCTTTTCCCAAACTGGTGCCCTCTAGATGCTTTGGACTTCAACTCTCATCGGTCCCAATGGCCCCGTAGCCCATGACATCTAGAGGCCACGGAGCCAGGGAAGGCTCTTGTAGAGACTTAGCCTTCTTCCAAAGACCCCAGGGTGGCCAATCCATCCCCACAACAACCCTGTGGAGCTGGTTCAGCTGAGAGAGAGTGAGCTTTTCAGCCAGATGCCACATGCATACTGCAGGTGGATGTGGCTTGCTTGCTTGCTTGCATCAACCCATGCAGCTACTTGGAATGCCTGGAATGGACTGAAGCTATCTGAGGGAAGGTGGCTTAGATGAAAAGGTTTCATTGCACACAGAAAGAAAAGACAATCAAACATGTTCCCTACCGTTCTGAAGGGCTGAATTCCCGGATTGCTGCCAGAAGCTGAACCAGCACCTTTAGTTTCCCAGAGTCACTCTCAGAAAAAGAGGCTGGAGGGCATCCTTGAGAAAAAATATCAAGCAAACCCTCACAGAGGTTCTGTTTCACTTGTTCATCACCAGTGGGGTCATGGCCTTTCTCCTGTGAAAAGCAGAATTGTTTAGAAGTTAGGCAGCTTTCATGTTATGTACGTGACAAGCTCCTAATAAAATGCGCCCATACTTTGTTAAAATATACCTAAAATGGATTCAGACATGATAAGCCATGTTTCAACAACAACCTACAGCACAATGACAATGTGCACTCAACCCATACCCAACCCTTGAATGTGGGAACCCAGACAGGGTACTGATAACACTACAACTTGTAAGCTTGCAAGACTGATGTGGTATCTTTACTAACATTCAGAGCCCAGAATGTATTCGGTCTCTTTCCATAAAGATCCATTTATGGTGTGGTTGCCATTGTGAAAGAATTGGAAGTAAGGAATCTTTGTTGATTTACTTAAAAGTCCACCCACCAAGAGATCCCAACTTACCTTCTGCCCATATCAGAACTGGAAAGAAACTGGAAGACTATTCACGCCACTGCTAGTATGTGACCCCCTCCCCACTCAAGCCAAGTGATGATCCCACTGGAAATGTGAATGGGAAAAAGGCTGCCCATCTGCATATTTGTTAGAAAGCGGCAAGGAGGCAAACTTTTCCAATGTCCTTCTACCTGTGCTCTAATATATACCACTAATGCAGGAGTAGGTGACTCTGAGCGGTCTGGGAGCCACTTTTGCCACATGGATTTCCCTTGGGCCAACCTCCTGAGGATGCCGAAAACAGGGTGGGAGGTTCAAAATTAAAAATCAAAAACCCAAGATGGCATCTCTAGATGCTAAGGAGCCCCTTGCAAAGACGCTAATTTGACACTAGTGCTCTATAGCAGTTCCGGACATGTTTGTTCGCAACAAAAACAATCCTGGTTCGGAAGTTTCCCCTGAATGTCAGGAGTGGCAGGGTGCTGCAGGGACCACATGGTGCCCACCTCTGCACGGATGTAGTACCTAATCTGTTCTATAAAGCAGACGCAGACGGGGACTGCAGCCGAGAAATTAAAAGACGCTTGCTCCTGGGGAAGAAAGCTATGGCAAATCTAGATAGCATACTAAAAAGCAGAGACATCACCCTGCCGACAAAAGTGCGTATAGTCAAGGCTATGGTTTTCCCAGTTGCAATGCATGGCTGTGAAAGCTGCACCATAAGGAAGGCTGAGCGCCAAGGATTGAGGGCTTTGAATTGTGGTGCTGGAGGAGACTCCTGCGAGTCCCTTGGACCACAAGGCGACCAAACTGGTCAGTCCTAGAGAAGGTCAACCCTGACTGCTCTTTAGAAGGCCAGATCCTGAAGATGAAACTCAAATACTTTGGCCACCTAATGAGAAGGAAGGACTCCCTGGAGAAGAGCCTAATGCTGGGAACAATAGATGGCAAAAGAAGAAGGGGACAGCAGAGAATGAGGTGGCTGGATGGGGTCACTGAAGCAGTTGGCGTAAGCTTAAGTGGACTCCAGGGGATGGTGGAGGACAGGAAGGCCTGGAGGAATGTTGTCCATGGGGTCGCGATGGGTTGGACACAACTTCGCAACTAACAACAACAAAGCAGGTGCTACTGGGCTAGATGGACCAGTAAGACATCTTTGTATGCATGGATTCCTTGGAGAATATGGAGAAAGCCCTCAGCAGACAAATCAACACTGGAAAGCTTCCATAAGAGAACACATTCTAAACCCACTGTCCTAGAGGAATGACAGTGTACATCCAGACAGAGAGGGCTCCTAGTCCTTCCCGTCTGAAAGCACTGAGCTGCAATTCCATAACAGATTATCTCAGTAACAGAAAAGACCAAAGCAGTGGGTCAACATAGGAAGGTTACAAGTCACAGAGAGCATCATCCACCCCTATGAAATACCCTGAATAAGGTGAGGTCATGCAATAAATCCATGGGTACCCCTGGCAAAAGAGACAAGAGACACCGCATCGCCAAAGGAAGAGGTAAGATCCACTGACATGCTTGAACTCTTTTGTTAACCAGCTTGAAAGCGAGGTAGGAAGCAGAAAACTCAACTGACAATGAAGGCAGAAGTCAGCAGAGCTAATAAAGCCTATAGGGAACTGGATTGATAAAAATTAGCATTTTGTTTGCCTGCTTTCCACGGTTGAGGTTTTTGGAGATTTCAAAAGGTGCCGCTACTTTCTGTCACATGCAATTTCCTGGCAGACGGTAGCTCAAGGCTGGTAGCCGCAGCCGCAGCAGCTGCCACCGCCATGGTTTGTGGTTTGTCACAAGCCAGGAGGCCTTGAGGCAGAGGGGAAAGGAGACGAGGGGAATTCAGTCACCCTGCAACAACAGCAGGGACAGCAGAGGACTGGAGAAAATTCCATTGCTCATTCCCTCGGATGGCTTCACATGCAGCTGCCACGGCTGATCCTGGAAACCATCCAGGGGAAGGGCTGCTATCTGTTACGCAGCCTCAGCTCTACACTCATTCCCGGGGAGAGAAGATTTTTCCCCAAGGTTGCCATACTCAGAAAAACAGGGGAGTTGTATTCCTTTGGGTGGTGGGGGGGGGAGGGTGCCTGAGGATACTTAGGTGTGTATTTCTATGGCCCAGGTAAGACATGGGGAACTGACCAAAAGGAAGGCCAGGTGGGAGCTGGGTTGCCACAGGTGGACACATGGCAGCCACCCAATGTAAACATGCAATCGTGCTCTTCTGTCCTTGCCTACCTGAAATGGAGATCCGTTGGTTCTTTAAGCACTCTATTTATTATTTCAGAGCTATGCACCCACTTACAAGCTGGCTCGTTTGTTGCTGCTTTTGTACTTCGTTTCTTATTAAAGGTGCATTTCTATCCTGGCTGGGCATGATGGGAGTTGTTGGCCTTTTTCCATCTAAACTTTCATGGGACTGCACCTTAGTAATATCAGGCAGCATGCTGAGTTGGTTTGTTTTAACGTTTCACAAATAAAATTGGGAAAGATTATACTGTGTTTATTGCTTTTTTGTAATGAGTTCTTTTAAAATTGCTGTTATTTTTCACTGGACTGTTTGATATGCTATAATGTTTGAATACTGGACAGTGGGTTGCATTCAATGTCAGTCTAATTTAAGTCTGATTAATTTCACTAGGTCTGCTCTCAGTGAGACTAAAACTGGACATAAGCCAATATTTTTCAACAGCTATCTTGTCTAAAATGTTATTTATTGAGTTTTCATGGAATTGTTGTGAGCCACTTTCTGGACAAGCCAGTTGTAATAAGTGAGTATACATTTTAAATCAAATCATTTTTGTTGGTGAACATAAACTTAAATACCTCTTTAATTGCACGTGTCCTCATCAAACAGATTGTTTAGGAATTATGTTTAAATAAAATACAATCCACAAACCAGAATTGTCTTGAAGAGAAGGCAGGGATGGTTGCAAAGTTTTTTCAACGCTCCAATGCAGATTAAATGAGGGCTATTTTCCAGACTGCCTTGTAGGCAAGATTTAACAACTTGAGAGCTCAGCAGCCTTCGATAGAGATCAAGCTGCAGTGCTGTTGGACGACAGAAAAGGATGCTCTCCCTTTTAGGAGGAAGAAATTTGTTGATCACATCTTGGGTTCTTCTAAGAATGAAGAGTCCAGTCAGGCGAGCAAGCTCTTCTGCTCTTCTCTCTCCCAGTTCAATTTCCTCCTAGAGAACCAAGCGGATGATCAAACAAGCTCATATAGATTATTGGTTTCCCACAATCTATACCTTCCATCTGCAGCATTCAAGCTACCCACTAGTATCCACCCTTCAACTGTTGCTTTTCAGTTTTCGGATAGAACATAAGGAAGGACTGGTAACAACTCTCGTACTTTAACAAAGCAATCTTATACACAGCTACTCAAGTTCCACTAAGTTCAGTGGTGCTTTGCCTCCCAGCTAAGTAGGGTTGCAGTCTACAATCCTATGCACACTTACATGGGACTACGTCCCACTGAGTTCAATGAAACTTACTTCTGAGTAGACGTGTATATATAAGATTGCATTGCAAATCTCTCCCCTTTCCCACCTCTCTCAGAAAAGGTGGTCATACTGAGCAACAAATTCACTATCAGCCCCTCCCATATCTCCCTCCTCTAGGAAGGCTTCAATAATTAACTATATAATTGCTGTTTTGGTATATATGCTCAATAAAACATTTACAGAAAGCTCTGATTTAATCTGCTATACTCCTTTGAGTTCCTCATACAGGCATTCCACTGTCCTGGCCAAACGATCCCCAGTTACTCATGCTTGGCTTCCTGATGAGAATGTTCATTTCTCAACCAGCCCCATTAACCACAGAATAGCTGCTTCCCTGGCAGAATAGGGCCAGGACTGCAATGGGAAACAACATACCTAGAGTATGTTATTTGAAATCCCGCAGTCATTTGTGTTCTGGAAGTATATATTCCCTAAACACACATAGTGCCCTAAAAACGTGTAGAGAGAGTATCCCAAGCAACTTGTACAAGTTTATTCCTAAAAGAGTGAGGTCATTTAGGAACCAAGGAAGCTCCTTATGCTGAATCAGACCATCTAGCCCAGTGTTGTGGGCACTGACAGGCAGCAGCTCTTCAGGGTTTCAGGCAAAATTCTTCCCTAGCCCTGCCTGCAGATGCCAAGGGATGAACCTGGGACCTGCTCCATGCAAAGCACCGATCTCCCACTTTGCTATGGTCATTTATAACTGGGAGGTTAGGAGAGATGGGGCAGCTGGATCTGTGAATCCTGACATGGTGTTCTGAATACTGAGAAGCTGTGAAATCCAGAACGCAAGCAATGGGCAGTCCCTTCAGGTTTCCCATGGCACTCAACCATCATGCAGACACACAACAACACAGGAGTAAAATGAACACTGTTCATATTATCTCACTGAAACAGATTGTTTATTCTTCATGTAGTCAAAGAGCCTCTTCATTTTAATGCAGCCAATCACAAAATCTAATTTCCGATTTTAATGACATACCTTTGTTGCTGAAGGCTCTCGAGATCTTCTAATGGGTTCCTCATATACTTTTCTGTATGCAGATAAAGAACCAAGTATTCCAGGATTTACAAACTCTATTAATGCATAAAATTCTTGCAGATCATTTTGTACTGGAGTACCTTGGGAAAAAGAAAAGACAATTCAATGGGCGTTTATGCTTGGAAAAGGACCCCTTTGCTGGATGATATTACATTTTATTCATCTTTTGCACTGCTCACATCTAAATTTAGGGTATGCTGAACAGCACTTACAGCAGCAGAACAGGTCTCAATATTTCATTTGGACACTAAGCAAATTCTTCACGCATTTTTCTGGAGGGCTGGGGTTTGTTTATTACATTCTTAATTGTCACAAACAATTAGCATCCAACCATGCCTGTCCAGTGGTACTAATGAGGTTGAAATAGTGGAAACTGACACTTAGACAATGCTACCGCTTACATTCACAATGGTAAATGAGTTGCAATCAGTATAATTAGCAGACAGATATAGCCTAAACTCTCCATTTCTTTTATCCCCATGCTAGCCCACCTTGGCACCTTAATGATACCCACCCGAAAGAATTACTCTCCTCTCACAAGGCAGGCTGGCAAGGGCTGTGGTTGTCTTAATGGAGCTGTTTTTCAAACGATGTCCCTCATCACAGACGACAAGGCCAAATTCTGTCTTTTGAATTTGGTCCAAGGAGCGTAGAAACATCTCATAACTAATTATCAGAACTGGATGGAGGGGGGAATTGATAAATTCTTCCACTTTGTGATCCTGTAAATAATAAAGAGCGTTTATAATGCTGACTGTTTAAACAAATGAAAATACATTCCTGTGTGCATATTTCTTCTCACTTCCTCACACACAGTCAATTTGCAGACTTCACTGACACAAAATATGGTGATGGCCGCTAGCTTAGATGGCTTTAGAAGGGGACTGGGCACTTTCATGCTCCATGAAATGATCGGGGACTTCAAATAGCTACACAGTGGCCATGTATTGCCCCCTGGACGAGAGGCGATACCAGATGCTGGGCAGCAAAACTGGGATAGGGCTAGTGATCCCATGGCAACTGGTTGGATACTGTGAGAAACAGGATGCTGACAGCATGGGCCTTTGGTCTAGTCTAGCGGGGGGGGGGGGTTACCTATGAGGTACTAGATGAGCATCCTCTCTTAAGGCACAGTAATGCCCAATCGCCTCAAAAACAAGGTCAAAAAAGACCTGCACTTTTTCTAAATGCAAAGCAGCCAACGCTGCTATGGTGGAACATGGGGGCACTGCTATAGTTCACTTTTGCTGACCTCTTTCCCACCAGATACAACAACACAGCAGGGAATGACTGTGGGGAATGGATCCTAGCAGATATCCTATTCCAGCGATGGCGAACCTTTTAGATGCCAAGTGCCCAAACTGCAACCCAAAACCCATTTATTTATAGCAAGATGCCAACACTGCAATAAAACCTGAAAACTGAGGTTTTAGTTTCGAAAAAACAACTCACAGCCAGTCCAAGTAAATATACACAGTGGTACCTTGGCTCACGAACTTAATCCGTTCTAGGATTCTGGTCGTGACCCAAATTGGTCGTGAGTCAAGTCAGATTTCCCCATAAGCGTCAATGAAAATAAGGTTAATCCGTTCTGCAACTATTTTTTTTACTCACAAAAATGTGAAGCAAAGTGATAAAGAACAAAGATTGTGCCCATCTCCCCCACCCCCAGCAATCGTGTGGGGGGTGGGGGGAGGCAGGCGTGATTGCAGGCGCGCTGGGGGGAGGCAGGCCCGCGGGTGGGTGGCCCGGGGCAGGTGCGCTGAGGGGGAGGTGGGCATGGGTGCACGGGTGGAAGGTGGGCGCAGGCACGCACAGGCAGGGAACATAGGTACAATTGTGGCCATCTCCCCCCCCAGCACATACGTGGCCATCCCGCCCCCAGCACAACCACAATCGCGCCTGTGCAGGGAAGGCGGGCACACTTGCGATCATCACCCGATGCAGAGTTCGCAACCTGCGGCAAACTTTTTGAAATTTCTGTTTGCGACCTGATTGGTCGTGAACTGAGGCGTTCGTGAGCTGAGGTACCACTGTATATATCCTTGGCAGCACACTGACCGGCCATGCGAAAGCTCGGACGAATCGTGGCTATTGAGTTGTGGCTCATGACATCATCTCCTGGCGCCGCTACTCCTTTCTGAGCATGCGCGTGGCCCCTAGGTGCGAGTATCCAATACTCGGCTGCTGAGGCGATTTGGCTTGAGTGCTGACAGAGAGGGCTCTGCGTGTCCACTGTGGCACACGTGCCATAGGTTCGCCACCACTGCTGCTGTGGCAAGGGAATGGAATGGAAGAAAGAAAGCTACTTTAATTAAAAGCTCCTCAATATTCACAAGTGAGGAGTTGTTTAACTTGTTAATAAGATGCCAGTGGAGCAACAAGGGCTGCATCTTGAAGCCAACATCCTGGAATCCTCCAAATGAGCACTCAGAGAGCAACAGCTGACAAGGGCTTCAGGCCAGCTGAAGCAGATGACATTTTATTCCTGTAGTCATGATGTGGCTATAATTTAAGGAAGTTTAGGATGAAGATCTGTCCATGCCCCAATATCTGGCAAGCAGTTTTGTCACTGTTCTAACTATCAGAAGGAAGAAAAGAAAGGTAAGCAGTTTCACAGCTGAAGTGATACAGGTGGAAGCCTGAAGTGGGCCCCCATAAGGTCATTCAGTCCAGGTTCTGAAAGGACCTTGCTGCACCATTGCTTGCTGCAGGCGCTGGAGCTGGCCCAAGGAGTGGCAACATTCACGGCACATGAATGTGAGCATGTGTGTCAGGAGTTTCCTACCTGGGAGAGTAGCAAAAAGCAATGCTCCAGGTCAGCCTTTCCCAACCCGACTACCACTGTCGGACTCACCTCCCACTGGGGAGGGCTCCAAGTTCAGGAAGGCTGCTCACGGCAGTGAGAAAACAATTGACTAGGCAAGGCAAGACAAGCACAGTGCTGTGTAAATGTTATTTCAAAATATCCTCAGACTAGCCAGTAAGGTTCTACAACAGTAAAAAGCAGAGCTGAACCCCATCCAAATAATGAAGGACCTTAAATGGTTATGGACAGCAGATGAATTTTATGCCTTCAGTATCTCACCTGATCAACTAAGAATACCTTGAGTCTTTCATTTCCCAACCATTTTTGAAATTCTTTTCCCCAGTTCTTCACCAGACTCCCAGGAGCAACGATCAGTGCCTGTTTTATTATAGGTTTGCCTCCATATGGCCCTTGACGCAGGAGAGTCCAGGTGAGCGCGATGCACTGCAGTGTTTTCCCTAAACCCATTTCATCGGCCAGAATAGCTCCAAATTTCATGTTTGCTCTGCAATGAGACCATTCTGTTGTTGGTGCACTGCAAAAGATGGCTTGGCAGTGATCGGAATACCAGTCCTAGGATTCCATACGATAAATATGCACATCCACATATATTAAAAATGTACTCAAGTTTGCTGAAACCTTCATCAATTTCCATTTCAACTGGGTGCAATACTATGCAGGTTAGACAGGTACAAAAAATTCTACAATTCCTAGCATTCCTCAGTCGAGCATTTCAAGTACCTCCCTTCACCGTGAAAGAATGAGGAAGGTTAGAATGATAATATACTGAAAAGGCTATGGGGAACAAAAGGGAAAAAACTGAGTAGTTCAATCTGGTTTCAACAACATCCTACTAAATTTCTGCAGCTTTTCAATAAACTTACAACCTCATTACATACTTTTCTAGGTTGGACAAAAGCCAATCTGTTTTGAAGAATTCACCAGCTTTAGTCAGTCATTTTAAACGATTCTCAGTAAGCTTTTTTTTTTTCAGGAAAAAGTGCAACCTAGAACATAATATCATGTCTTGAACAGCAAGGGGGACTGGATGGCCTCTGTGTTCTCTTCCAACTTTAAATGCATTGATTGTATATATTTCCTATTGATTTGGGCTCCCAAAGCAAAAGCTTGACACAACACAACATTCTTTATATTTTCAGTGAATGAGAACAGACTGAGGTGTGCCGAGCATCACAAATGAAGGTGTCACCTCCAACCTCTTTGTACAGTGCTCATTAACATGTATGGAAAGCCACACAGTTAGAGGTACGTGAACAACATTCAACAGGAACCCTTCACGCATACACCTGTCTGCAGAAAGGTTCTCTACAGACATTTTCAGGAATGCATGTATAGCATGCTCTCAAAATGCTTTTCCCTCCCACTTGTGCTCCCTGAACTCAGAGAGAACAGATGCCCAGTGCTAAAGATCCACAGAAATTTTCTGAACATGCCCTTCAATTAATGGAGAGCCTGGGGAAGGCCTTAAGCAAAGAGGGATGCCAGGCCACAGAATTAACTCCCTTGCTTGCACATTAATTTATGACCCTTCCAGACAAACAGCCCCTAATAATACCAATCAGAAGGCAACACCTTATGGGGCTATTCTCCCTACCTACCTGGGCACCACCTGGCTCAGCATCAGAGGCCTTCCTCCAACTGCCTTCTCCAAGGGAGTCTTGGGAAGCAGCAACATGGAAGAGAGCCTTCTCAGTGGTACCCCCTCCCAATTATGGCATGCTCCCCCTACTGAGGTCCACCTGGTACCATCACTGTCTTCTTTTCAGCATGTTTAAGACTGCCCTCTACACCTAGCATTTGATGGCATATGGAGGGGTATGTATGTCAATTGTTTCTATCAGGCCCAGCTCCTTACTATTAGATTTTTAATCAGTTTAGCTGTTTAAATGGCTTTAATTTTTTTGATGTTGGAGACCTTTTATTATGCTTTTGTTGTTATATTTTAATGTAGGCTTCTTGTGAACGCTCTGAGAGCTACAGCTATTGATTGGTATTGGAATGAACTTTATCTGTGCAACTATTTATTTTCTTCCTTAATTGATTTTTTGCTGGTAAGAAAAAAGATAGAAAAACTGGTGGGAAAACACGAAAGGGTTACAAATTGAAGATAAGGTTATTCAGACACTTGACAAAATGTAGTGAATTAGGAAGGGCAATTGCACAATAAGTTTCATCTGGAAGCACACAATATATGTCAAAAAATATGGCAAAAACAACAAGTTCACATGCAGCTTCATATTCTGCAAACCATATAGCTCTCTTATGCTGCTCCTAATATATTTATGCATCTGCTCCATGCTCCAGGTTGTTAAATTAGAAATATTTGTACCAAATGCATGCATTTTGGTTTCATACAAAATAAATCAATTATTCCAGCTTCTGCAGTTTACCTGCTCCAGCAGGCAAGAAACCTGCTGTCTTCTGTTCCTATGCAATGACAAATAATAAAGAAAATTTACCATTAAAATGCATAATACGTTCACTGTAAAAATCTCAGCTCCATTCCAATATATGTAACAGATGTTTCAGGGAAGGAGCTGCTAACAACTCTTCAAATTTATTTTGAGGCATTTCCACTTAGCCTGCTTCCATTGTACCCAAGATCGCAGCCGCATATATTGGCGATCCCAAGAAGAGGAGAATTGGATCCCAAGGACAGGAGAACACAAAATTATTCCCTGGCCTGTGAAAACAGTGGGGTGGCTGCAGTGCACAGGTCTGAGAAGCTGCCCAAAATTGGGCACTTTCTGTCAATCCTCTTCTGCCAAAGCTCAAGATCCAGAGCCATTAATGGTAGGATGATTTCTGGAGCACATACCTCAAGTCTTGATACAGGACCAGCAGGGAGGGTATAAACCTAATAATTTAAATAAGCTGGTGGGTATCATAGTGCTGGACTGGGGACTGGGAAGAGCTGGGTTCTAGCTAAGAAGCTTGGCTATAAAGTTCACTGGATGACCTTGAGCCTGACCTACGCACAGGGATGTCATGAGGATAAAAGGGAGAGAAGGAACATGAAAACTGCCTTTAGTTCCTAGTAAGAGATACATTGATGAGATGCAAATATAATAAATAAAATAGGCTACCCAGAATCCTCAAGGGGGATTTACATCCACTTGTGCCCTCTAGGTATGCTGGAGTCCAACACTCACAATTCCTAGCCAGTACAGCCATTGGAATTATGGGAGTTACAGTCCACTCTATCTGGGAACACCAAGTCAGGGAAGACTGACCTAAATATTTCCTTCACAGCAGAAACTACAGTAATCCTCTCCAAATCCTGAATCAATTTTGCAGAAAGCTGCTAATTTCAGCCAAAGCTCTCTCCACTTGCTGGCCAGAGAATGAGATTGGAGCGACTTTGCTGGCTAAATGTGAATCAATATCTTTGCTTCGACTTTTCTTCATGGCCTTCTTTGTGCTTAACATTCCTAATTCAATTATGGAGCTGGGTACAGTAAATTGCATGGAGCTATTAGGTAACATTTGCACATTAAACTTCACGGTTAATGTGTAATGTGGTGAATCTCTCTCAAGCGAGTTAACTGCTCCTCTGAAGGTAGAATTTGCTAAGGGAGAATCTATCGCATTAGTCATTAACAGAAGCATCCTGCTCTAGCTGGTGCTGATGCAGCTCCCTAGAATTCTCTGGCAGGACTGCCGTGGGGCCAATCATCCAGCTTGCTTCTATCGTCCAACTAAGCAAGAAGTGGGAGTAGACAGAACAGTGCCCATGAGCACCACTGTGCCCCGGACACCTTTCTTGGCACCTGCTTAGGTGGCTCAGCCCCCCCCCCCCCCCACATTTTTTCTTTTCTTGTTAAGGAATTTCCTCAAGATGAAAGCCAAGCGAGAGCCTCCAAGCCACTGCCACCTTCGTTTTCCATGCACTGCAGGCTGGGTCTCAGGCACGTTCATAAGGAATAAAGATGGCAGATGGCTGCAGGCCAGTGTTTTCCTCTGTAGTGTGCCCAACTTCTGAAAAAAAGAGGAGGAAAAAAAGAAAAGAGCTCCCTGGCATGACTGGTAAGCTTAGGACGTCTAGGAAGGGTACAACAACCCAGCTGAGAGGGCCAGCAAAGCCGGAAGGGAGAGCAGGAGGAGGAGTGGGAAGAGCAGCGGAGGGCTGGCCAGAAAAACCGGGGTAGGGGAGCATGCAGAGAGGGTTGCATGCTTGCAATCTGAATGGCTGGAGGCTGCACACACATGTGGGGATTGGGGAGAGGGAGACAGAAAGCTTGCTGGGGAGGGTTTTGTGTATGCTCCCACGTGCTTTTAATATGCAAGATAAGAGATGGACTTGAGTGTATGCAGGCACGTCCACTGGATACACAGGCTGTTTCTGTGTGTGAGAATGATGGACTGGGGGTGACAGGGAGAGAGACAGATGTGTACCTGTTCGTGATGAACGAGGCTGAGAGAGAACTAGACTGTGGTGAAATGAACTGGCTGACAGAAGTGGCACAGCAAGAGTTTGCCTTCTGTGAAATAGGTTCCTGTTGCTACTGAAAACGGTAGCCTCAAAGGAAGCTAGTGTGTTGAGACTCAGACAACACCTCTGCGCTCGTTCAGTCTTTGGGGGAGCCTCCCTGTCCTTTTGGGTAACCGTACGTCCTGTAGCTGCCGTTTCATGATGAAGATAATGGCCTGCCTACATGTGAAACAGGAGCAGGGATTGGTATAACCTGAGAACACCGCACTGGGTAGCAGCCTGTAACTGTAACAGCTGCAGGCACAGAGAGCTTGCCAGCACGATGCTATTTTACACAACGCCCCCGCCCCCAACACTTTATTTATTTACTAGATTTATATCCTGCCTTTTTCCTTTTTAAAGAACTCAGAGTGGCTTACATCATTCTCCTTTTCCTGCTCTCTCTCTTATTCTTAGCACAACAACCCTGTGAGGTAGGTTGGGCTGAGAGTCTGTGATTGGCTGAAAATCACCAAGTTGGCTCCATGGTTGAACTGGGACTAGAATCCAGATCGCCTGAATTTCTGTCCCGTGCTCTAATGTTCCTGTCACTACGCTGACTGCTGCACTACTGAAATCTGCCACTGTTATTCAAAAATCTCTGCAATTCCGCTTTAAGATACAGCAGACAGGTGCACCTTGCTTTCCAACGAAACTGTGCTCCTGGGAGGGCCTGGAAAATTCTGCAGCATCATGGGACAGCGGGGTGCCCACCACCTCCTAGGTGTTACCTGTTCCATTGCATACCCATGATGGCCCTGACATGTAGGCCCATTTTTAACAATCTGGAAAATCCTACCAGTCCAACATTTTCCATGATTCTAGAAGGCAGATTAAAATGGGAAGAAGACTGCAGGGAGGAGCTGTGCTCAACGGCTGAGCAGCTGTTTTGCATGCAGAAGGCCTCAGGTTCATTCCCCAGATTTTCTAGATAAGACTAGGAAAGGATCCTGCCTGAAGAAATGGAAGAACCCTGCTAGTCAGTATCAGCAACCCAGGGCTAAATGGACCAAACATCTGACTCCAAACAGCTTCCATGTTCCTCTCTCTGCTCATTTTTAAGATTTATTGCAGATGCACAGAATCGCCAACATCAGCTTTCATTTACAGAATTAGAGAGCAAAATTTATTTTTCTTTTACCTCATCCCCATTACACATTCATAAAGAAACAGAATTCCTTCTCGCTGGTGTGGGCGAAGATGGGTTACAATGTAAGGGTCCATGACAACATCCACAACAGGCAAGCCGGACTTATTAAACATCCGCTGGTGATTTGGAGATGGCCGTGGCATGACTAAGCAATCTGAAACATCAAACACAGGCATTGTAAATGAAAAATGACTGTTTATTAGGAAAAGATACAAAATACCATTCTCAGTTTGCTAAATCCAAACAACAGCTTGCAAAAGTACTGCTGTGCTTTCAATTTTAGACTAAGTAAACTAAGTAACAAGCAGTTGTTTATTCAGATCAAAATGACTGTGGAAAGTATAACACTGATAAAAGAAAATACAATGTATCATATACAACAGGAATTCTGAAGTGCAAAGTGACATTTTGGTAATTAGAGAAATAATCACATTTTTTCCACATTCTTGGGTGTCCCGCAACCCCACCCCAGTGAATGTGACGGGCCAACCATACAAGATCTGACTTAAAGACAAACGTCTGCCTTCTCAGAAAGGGATCTTTCTGGGGACTGTCTATACTGTGCTAAAATACCATGATGGGTTTCAAATCACATGACAAACTAAGAAAGACACCCTTGCCTATCGTGTCTTGCAAACTAGCCCAATGAGTGGACTGAACAGTTACCCAGCACCCCAGCTAATATTAATCCTGAGAGTTTATCATGGATCAACATCTAGCATGTTGTGCCATGAACTCTCAAACCTTTCTATTTGACCTCATATTCCCCAGGGTCCAAAGACTGGCTTAGAGACATATTGGAGGGGTTTTCGGCCAGTGTCAACCATCCCTAAAAAGCAGAATTAGCTTGCTTTGAGCCATGAAGGAATATATTAGCTATTGTATGATCGTCTTGTCCCTACTGCAGACAAGATGGCATCCTCCTCAGTTTACTGAAGAGCGGGAAAGGACCTTATTTACTTGCATATTGCTTAATTTGGAGTGCAGTCTTAAACAGAAAAAACAGAGTGCATGCTTAAACAGAAAAAAAAAAATCCTAGATGCTGGCTGAATAATGCTTGAAGTTGCAGGACTGTTTTCTGTCTAAACTCATCAACATTTATTACTGACATGTTTTTCAAACCTTTGCACCCATGCTCATACAAATCCTGCCTGGTTTTCGTATACTGAATGGGGAAGGACTGAAAAAGCCTAGATCTTGGGTGCTTATTCAGCTTCTTCAGAAGAGGAAAAACAGAGGGAAACGCAGGTAAATTTTTAAAATCCTCACTTGGTGCACATGGATCATGTCGTGGTTTATAGTTCTGCAAGACTTTAGGCAAATTTCCTTTTGTACTGGGTTTGCAGACATTTTTGAGAGGGTTACAGAATGGCTTCACAGTAGCTTGGGAGACACGGCAAACATCCTCTGCAGTTGCCATACCACACTGAAAACACCTGCCACTTCTGAAGTCCTCTTCTGGAATTACACGCATCACTTCAATTTCTTTGCCTCCAATAATCAAAGTCTGGCCTTCATCAAGATTTTCCAGATCTTTGGCTTTGTATCCAGTGCCTAGGAGAGATCATATAGATATTAAACCAAGATACAAACAAAATAATAATAGAAATCTATCAAGTAGAAGGTAACTGGGAAGAAACTGTGGGTATTGTTTCCAAGGTTTGTGACCACATCAACTCTAAACTGACACAGAAAGTCAGTGCTCTCACTCACAGCTATACACTGATCTAGCGTGCCAAGTCACCTTTGCTAAGCTGGAAAGGCACAGGCCTGCAGCCGGATTGGTGACCACACACAGAAGCAAAACAGGTTCTTGCACTTGACAGCCTTATAGCTTCTTCCCAGCTCTTATTCTATTCTGTTCTAAACCTTGCTTTGACCTTCGTTTGCTGCACAATGGCCACTTAAGGGCAGTGAAAGTGTGTCCTGGGAGACTGAGTTAGAGAAACTGCTGGGTTAGAATTAATCAACAACTTTAATTCTATTGCTGGGAGTCTGAAGTAGGATAAAGGGCTTTTTATCACACACCGCATGTGTTAACTGGCTTGCCTTGCTCAAGGTTGTTTGTATTATCAGCAATAACTTCACAGTGAATGACTGTGGTTAATAATGCCATTTTATCAGTCACTCTCAGTATATGTAGTATTTAATTTCCTTCTAATCTCACTGTTCACAATCCCCACCCTCCCCAAAATCAACATGTATTGCACAGAAAACTGAAACTCTCCAGTATGCTACATCTAATGAAGTTGGGTTAAAGTCCACAAAAGCCTATACCAGAATATTAGCTTTTCAGGTGCTGCAAGACACTGTTGCTGTTTGGATTTATCACTGAGCATATAAAGAAAATGGAGGAATAAGATTCATAGAACCATAGAATAGTAGAGTTGGAGGGGGCCAAGAAGGCCATCAGGTTCAACCCTCTGCTGTTGCAGGTCACCAATTTACACCATCCCACTTGCTAGAGAACTGCAGCAGAAGATCGGTCTAGTTATTCTGTATCAGGCACAGCTCCATCTGTGCAGTTCCTGGCCATGTGTACCTTTCCTTACTGGTCCTTCCCTTTTCCAGATCTCTTGGCCGCCTTCCTCCTCTTTTCTTCTCCACATTCCTTGGGATCTCTCCAGTGCCTCACTACTCATTTCCTCTTTTGCCTCTTCCCAGTCCCTTTTTTTCCTAAGCTCAAGTGGCTGCCTTGCCCTTTCCTCGAGGATCTGAGCTACTGGTCAATGGCAAGCAGGGACTCTTCTGCCAGTTCTGCCTCACCCTAACACCAAGGCATCTCAGCCAATCACTGTCAAAGTTTTCACCATTGCACCTTCCTACATCAATAATTCTCACTGTATTCCAATTGCACTCTATCAGGTCAAGGTAACCCTACTTTTCAGTTACATTCTTATTGGTGTTACCTCTTCCTATGTCTTTGCCTTCCATGTCCTTCAGTGTCAGTAACTTTTCGTTCACAATCAGAACAGCATCCCCTTCCCACTTCTTGTGCTTTTTCTTTGAGGCCTTGCACCATACTACACTGAAATATTTTACAAGGCGGCTGGACTCTTCTTTTGGTCCCATTTCCGTCATCTTTGTCTGCACTGGACCTGTATGAGTAAAGACAACATGAGATAAAAAAAAAAGGAGATCTCACAGCGTGTTCATTGGCTGCAGGGGCAGATCCAAGCTGCAAATGGAGAGACTGGCATGCTTACCAGCAAACTGAATGCTTGCTCAGTTATCCAGCCTTCACCTCCCTCGTGCATCAGGGAACTCACTTTCCTCAGCATGTGCTCCAGATTGGACTATACTTCTCAGCATTTCCCAGCCAGATACGTAATTGCACTCCAAGAAATTTGGAGGGCACTAGGCTGAGAGAGGTTAAGGTAGGCTTTATTCCCTTTTTGAACCAAAAGTTTGAAGTTGCAGACTACTATCCTGCAGATTCTTGTAAGGCATAACCCTCCGGGATAAAGTTACATCAGTCCAGAAGACTACAGCTAAATGTTGTGTGAATATTCAGAAGCTTAGATATTTATTCAGCCATCACTTAAATGCATGCAAAGACTTACAGTGAAAGGATTCTTGGTGACATGGTGACCAAGCATGGGTTATCACCCAACCAGCACCATGCACAAATGGCTGGGGAACATGGCAGTTTGAGTTTTGAACTGGGACGTGGGAGATTCTGATTCTAGTCCCTGTTTGGCCATCAGACTCATTGGGTGACTCTTAGTTCTACTTCAGAAGTTTTTGTGAGGATAAAATGGAGGGGAGGATGAGTAGACAGCATTGTGAATAGTTTATAACAACTTTAATTCTAGCATTTTGTAGTCAGTCTACTTCAGATTAACTTCTTTGCTTTGTTGATTTCATCCTGAGTTGTTTGGAGCGTTTGTTGATAATCTTGAATAATATTCATTCACAACAAACTGCGTTGTTAGGTTTTTTTCTTTTCCAAAGGGCACATCTCAGTAAAACACAACAATATTCTCAGCAGTGAATCTGAAACTTGGTTTATTTCAGTATTCCCTGTCTATATAATTTAAACATGCTTGCCTGTTCCAAATGTGTGGGATTATGTAGGAAGGTGAAGTAGGAAAGGTTATTCATATTTTTTAGCATTTTCATGTGCTAAGCAGGCCTGATTACTCATAGACAAGCCAAAGACATTATCAAAAGGAACGACATTATCTTTCCAAATCATATTATATAAGCTTGACTTACATAAAGGGAATTTTCAATAATTTAAGCAGAAAGCCAATAAAAGACCAAATTTAACAGGATTGTGCAGAGGTAGTAACGTGTATCCAAAAATAAAAATGTTCTATCACATCAGAGGGTTTTTTATGAACAGGTACTTTAGTTCAGCACAAGGTTTCAAAAACCTGCTACTCCAGTGTGTCTTCAACTGGGGATCAGGTCCCAACGGGTCTCAGCCAACTTTCAACAGGTCTCAGGGTTTCAGACTTCCCAGTGCCTTGTTTGACCACACAGTGCCATGGCTACACACTGCACAAGCAGGTGTGACATTAGACAGAAGGGCATATAGTTAGGAAGGCTAGCAACAACAAAAACAGCAACAACTAGGAAGAACTGGAAACAAATAGGAAAGGGACCACAAGAGGGAAGCTGATACAGGGTGAAAGGAGTATAAAAGCATCAGGAAGGAAAGATAACAAGAAAGCATGGGACAAATTAAGTGAGAAAGAAGGGTCATGGAAGTACAAGAGATGAATAATAAGATTTTGAGAAACATGTGGGAGAAGGAGAAAAATAGTATAAACTTTTTTTTTTTTACTTAGAGCAGGGACCTCACACTTTTAGGTCAGTGGGCATATCTGGAATTTGGAGAGTATCATGGACACTCTTACAAAAGAGCTGACACAGAGGGGCATGTTATTAATAAAAACACTCATTTTCAGAAGGCAAGTAGTAGAAAAGTATGAAGACAAAGAACCTAAGAAGGCAGAAGTGTGGTTCTTGGCTTCAAAATACAAAACCACAATTTCCATCCCAAATTTTTGTAAGCTGTCCTGAGGCTTGGGCAAAGAACGGGGTAGAAATGATTTAAATAAATAAATAAAGCGTTGAAACCAAAATAAAGGACAGCACTTTGCAATATGGCCATGTCCCAGTTTTTTAAAGTAATTTTGAATACTACAGTGGTACCTCGGCTCATAAACTTAATCCATTTCAGGACTCTGGTCGTGACCCAAATTGGTCATGAGCCAAGTTAAATTTCCCCATAAGGTTCAAAGTAAATAAGGTTAATCTGTTCTGTAACCATTTTTTAAATCAGAAAAATGTGAAGCAAAGTGACAACAACAAAGATAGCGGCCATCTCCCCCACAGCACAAGCACGGCCATCCCCTCGCCCCCCCCCCCCAGCACAACCGAGATCATGCCTGTCATCCTGGCGTGCTGGGGGGTGGGGGGGGAGAGACAGGCGTGATAGCGGGTTCACTGGGGAAGGAAGAGACGGCGCCAACGGCGCACTAGGGGAGGGAGAGATGGGCGTGATCTCGGCCATCTCCCCACTCAGGGGTGGGGTGGATGGCCGCGATCGTGCTGGTTGGGGGGCGGGGAGATGGCCGAGATTGCGCCCGTCTTTCCTGCAGGAGTGCGCCTCTGATCAGGCACACCTTCCCTGCATGAAAGGAACTGAGATCATGACCATCTCCCCACTGTGGGGGGTGGAATGGCTGCGATCTTGATCGCCACCCAAAGCGGTGTTCGCGACCCAAGTCAAAATTTTTCAGAAATTTTTGTTTGTGACCTGATTTGTTCATGAACCAAGGTGTTCGTGAGCTGAGGTACCACTGTATTTTAAAATAAAATTAAAATGAAGAGAAGCAGGGAGTTTGGTGAGCACCAAGAGAAGTGTCCGTGGATATTGTGTTGGAAACTGGATGTAGAGACATTGGACCAAGTTCCTCCTGAAATGGGGAAGCTCTAATGATATCCCCAGAGACAGTTGGTATTTAACTTAAGAAAAGATAAATGCCCAGCTACCAGGGAATCGTTACAGCAAAGAAATTAACAATTTACAAGGAGGTATTTGATATCATGATAGAATTATGTCAGCCATTTCCTGCTGATTATAACAAGCTCCACCTCCACCTGTCACCATGGAGGTGGTCCTCAGTCATGCTTAGCTCTCTCCTCTGGGCCTTGAGGGTAGAAAGTTTAAGAATTTCTGTGATAATCCAGATGCAAACAGAACAGTTACACACATTGAAATACACTACAGTGCAACTCACTACATTGTGCACTGAAGTAGTATGACATCTGAGTTACTGCTGTGTATACTGGGCTAGTTATTTTTTCTAAGTTGCAAAACGGTTTAATAGTCTGGGATAGAAGGCAAAATGGGATAGTGGTGCCTTATAGAGCAGGGATGTGCAGCAGGTAGATCTGGATCTACTGGCAGATCTCCAGGTAATTGATGGTAGATTGGAAAAGATTTCTAACTCCCAGTTGTTTAATAACAGCAGCAACAAAATGACTCCCAATAAATGTGCCTGCACATTTCTGATATGGCTGTTGAAGGGACCTACTGGTTAATACATATAACACTCCCTTGATGCCCAGGAAAGATTTCGAACCAGTTTTTACTTTTAAAATCGCCATCAAAGGATGGCTACCAGGGAATCCTGGTTTCCATATATGTGGCCCTTAAACCCTGCTCCCAAAAAACTTCAGAATTTAGTATCTTTTCTATTTTGGGGGATTTTTCCTTAAAACACAGATTGACTGGTCCAGAAGTTGACTGAAAGCTAGGTTAGTCACTTTCACCGCTTAAGTGAGCTACATGAGCCTGAATTAAGATAATATGCCTTCCCTCCTACAGCAAAGTTCCCTTACCACCCTGAATTCACGTGCTCAGGTATCATGAGAGCCAGGAATGAAATGGCTGTTGTTCTGGGACCTACATATCCCAGAGATCAGCCTTCCCCATTTGTGTCCCATCATGAACCAAGGCCTGGTGCCCTGCCACTGTTGTGTAAGGTCAGGCTGGTCCGGTGGAAAAGCAGGGGCTTTTTGACAGGAGCACCAGGACTATGAAATAGCCTTCTAGAGTAGGGTTGAAGCAGCAGCAAGTAGTTTAAAAACCTGCCTCTTTAAGGAAGTCTTGTACGACAACATTACAAATTTTTAGGTGGGACCTTTGTCTAGTAGAAGTTTAAATCCAACTTTGTATTTGGGGTAATTTTGTTACCCCAGGAAAAAAACTGCTTCAGGCGAGGGAGATGCTGCATATGAAAAGCCTTTGTTTGACTGAATGTTTTCCCCAGGAGGTTTGAATTAGCATAAGAATGGATGGCAGCTTTCAGCTAGTACAGGTAAGAAGTAATCTTCTGCAGCAATCTATAACAATAAAAACAGGATAACAACACTTGGCCTGCTGATCCTCAATCTGGACAGCAACAATTTGGTCTATAAACTTCAAATCAGCATAAAAATGCTTTCCCTTGATGGACCTTTTCCCCCTGGAAGTTTTTGTTCCAACTCTTGGCTTTCAAAAGAGGCTAAGATGACTTGTGGTTGACCTAATCTTGTACCCCCAAATGTGTCCTTTGTTTGGGATTACAAAAGCACCTCACAGGCCTTTTTATTATCTTGCATTTGACAATGTCCTAGAAAGACTAGCTTGTAGCTTATGTGTAAATTACACAACTAAAGTAAGTGTGAGATGAGAAAGTCACCCAATGATAAGGGATGAAGTTAAATTTTGATGCTATTTTCTGCCATTTCACATAATGCTGTTTTTATATGTTAAGAACCATTGTACCCTGCCATGAGTGCAGAAGCACAGCACAAATATTTTAAACAAATAAATATTCACATGCTAAAGGCTTTTGGAGTTTATGGAAGAATGAAGCAACACATTTTTCACTAATAACTAGGCTACCTGCACTATCAGTCAAGATACTGCTGGCTGCTTTGAAATATTTAAATTGCCTTTTCATCCCAAAAATGAAGGGTCCCTCAACTTTTTACTAGCGTTATTAAAGCCAATCTGTTTCAAGGAGCGAAGAGCTCAAAAAAGAAAAACAGAATGTTGGTTGGGGCAGGAAAATAATTTGAGCAAGGCTCCTTAAGTGAAGGTAAGAAGGATGAAAGGACTAAAGCAAACAAGATTACCTGGGAGTAATCTTCTTTGTCTTTTTTTTTACATGACAATAGCCTGTGTGCATATCAGACACAGAGAAGTACTATCTAGGAGGCAGGCCTCCCTTAAAAGAAGCCAGTGTACAAGCAGGAAAGTGGTTCAACTGGAAGTAATATTCAAGTAAAACCCAGCAGCTCTACAAACAGATAGGCAGGTCATCTAAAAGGCAGCAACATTCCAAAGCCTCCTTCCCAAACTGGTGCACTCCAGATGGTTTTCACAGCTCCCAGCCTGCTGGGGCTGATGGAAGTCAAAGTCTAAACACCTGGAAGGCAAAAGGATGTCTATTTTAATAATTCTTTATAAAGGTTTTGGTTGATGTATTTTGAAATTTCTTTCACAAATTCACCAAACAACACACATTATTTTGTGGCATACGCAATACATCTCATGGTTCTATAATATAAAGCTAGTTTAAGTTTGATTTAAAAGCTTGTCCTCTGTTCTGAGTAAATTTTCCTAATGCCTTCACTTTTATAGCCAAAGTAGCGGAGAGCGCTCATGCAAGCGAGCGAGCCCCCTAAATGTGAGGAAAGACTTCGCCAAAAACTATCCAGCAAGGACTAACCCACCAAATGCTGACAGCAGAGCATAAAACAGAAAACTGGGTGGGACTGGGCAGATGGTCAGGGGAAACTCCAAGAAAACTCCAGTGATGCCTCAGCATACCAAGTGGGTACAAAACACTGGCTAATTATGACTGAAAGTCAAAATGGTGGGTAGAGGGGATAAAATAGTATGGAGTAAACAGAAATCTGAAGAGCAGCACTGCACACCACAACCCCAAAAATGTATGGAAGATTTTTCTCTGGCTTCAAACACTTTATGTAAATTTTATTTTTGTAATGCAAGGCCCTCAAGGCTTGAATGGATATGGCTATCTGCTGGTAAACCTCTTTCATTATTACATACAGGTGGCTGAGATATGAATGCTAGGTGGATGTTGCTCTCCAAAATTCAGAACACAGCCTCAGAAAGAGCTTGGAGGAGGCAGTTCAGTGGGAGGAAAGGAGACTGGAACAGCCAAGATGAGGTATGCTAAAACCATGACTACCTCCTCCCCTCCCACTCCAAGATGCTCCAGCAAGATGACAGAAAACAGCCATCTAGTGAAAATGCAGAGTGGGAGCAGCAGGGAGGCAAAGACCACCCCTGCTGCTCCAACTGCTGCACATTGCGTAAGCATCAGCCTGAATTTAGGGGCTTCCGCTCCTCTCCATAAGAATGCACCCTAAAAGGCACAATTCTACAAATGCTTAGACAGAAAGCAGTGTTAGCTGGAGAATGCTGCAAGTTACAAGCTATTTTTTCCTCTCTAAACATGCACAGAATTGCACCCTACAACAGGGGTAAAGAACTGTTCCAGCCAGTATGGTCAAAGGCCAGGGATGATGGGAATTATAACTCTATAAAATCTAGAGGCCATAGGTTTCCCACCCCAGAGTAAACAGAGGAGAAAAAGGCAGATAACCAATTCTTATTTTTCACAATTTACTGCTCTGAAGTTATAAAACATTATGAATGCATATCCTCTCTGTTCAGCTAAATAGTAACTTACCAGAAATTATTTTCTCTGGTTTTCTTGACAGAAAAAGACTACCTTTAAGAAAAAGCAGTTACCAAGTGTCTTGTGAAAAGAATGAAACAAAGAAATATAGTATTTCCCCACAATGTTTGAGTAAATTTATTGACCCACAGATAAGTGACCATTTTAAATGAGCAGATAAGAATTGCTCCAGGGGAAAAAATGGAACAAAGAATAAAATCAGCATTTTTACAACAGCTGCATAAATTATTTTGTTTTGCTAACAGTAATATAATCACAAGATTTCAAATGATTTTTTTAAAGTCTTAGATCTGGTTCTACTTTAGATCAAAACACCTGGGAATACCAGTGAAAGATGGCTTTGATTTTTTTGTAAATGTGCACGAAAAACAAAATGGAATAAACATGCACTCTTCTCCCCCAACCAAGTCCAAGGCTGGGCTTTGATCCATTCAAATGAACTTAGCAAATAATCTTTTCTAGATCAGAAAGAATCATGAAAGAACCCTGGTTTTATGCAGCAGAAGTGCTAAATATTCAGAGACTGTTGAATTCAGGAAGATCACGACGTAACCGTATTGCTTTTAACTTTTCTACTTTAATTTTGGCTCTTAGTAGCTCTTCTTCCAGCTGCTGCCTTCTTTTCAAGCCATCCCTTTTTTCTTGGATATAGAGCCCAATTTTCCTCTGATTTTCCAAAATTATGTTATGCTCTTCTTTTAACATTTGCAACATTTGGGGATCATACCCGCCACATGCTGGCCTAAATCGTTCCCCACTTTCAAGCCTGAAAAATTCATCTCTTCTGGGGATAGGGGATGGAGAGAGCATTCTTATATCTACAGAAGACAGGGAAGTTGAAGGAGATCTCTCCATGACATGGACCAAATGTTGCTGTTCTCTTTGCTCTAAGCTTTCCTGTGTTTGCAACTCTACAATTAATGATGGAGGCGGCTTGATGTCTTCCTCAATTTCTTGATCCAGCTCCAGCGTGATAGCAGCGGGATGGTGCTCCAGCACTGGTTGTGGGGAGCTCGTAGTAGCAACAGTTTCTTTTTCTACAGTGGCACTAAAACAAACAAATCATAAGTTCATCATTAACAGAAAACAGAAAGAGCCTTATCTGTTCCCAATAAAGACAACAGTCTAACCCTGGAGTTCCCACAGTGGCATCCATGGGCATGGATATTTCTCTAGGCATGCACCAAACTCCCTGATTTGTAAATTTCCTGGGTGAGTTACTTTTATTTTGCTCTCACCAGTGTGTCTGCTGGGAAATGGGTGTTTTGTAACTGGCCATGAGCACTGAAGGATCCATTTTGTGAATAGGAAGCCCAGCGTGACAACCATTTTGTGGCAGCACACATGATACATGGAAAACATTCAAATGAGCCCAAAGTTTGGGGACCCTGATTTAAGCCTTCTGTGAGCCAAGCTTTGGGAGTCGCCACTCAAAGACATCCCAATTGCTTACATGCAGATCTACCACTGTGAGAGGCACAAAGATGGCACATGAATAATGTTCTGTCACAGGATGACTAGTAATTGGGTGTCTTCCCCAACTAGATGTCCTTCGCTTGTGCTGAACTTCAACTCTCAGCATTCCAGGCAGCATGAGAACTGCAATTCAGCACATCAGGAAGGCAGCCCATTAGAGAAAGCTGATCTAGTAAAAAAATTAAAAAGAAATGCAGAGGAAAGAGAGAGGAATGCAGAAGATTTTATGCACCAACAGCATGGGAAACAGCTTCTTGGATAATTCCTGTTGCTCAAGTTCCATGGACTTCATGTGGCTTCCTTTCCAATAGCCTGAAGAATGATTTACCACAAAGCATTACTTTCCCATCTTCTATCCAACAGCTTGCATTGCCTGATGAAGGGGATCTGGAGCTCCCAAAAGCTTGCACACACTTTCTGACTTTGATAAAGCTATTACCATAGCATGGCTTTTCACACATTTTGCCTAGCCTGAATAGTTAGGCATTATCTGCAGTTGCTCCAACCTCTCCTCCTCTTCTGAAGTGCTCTGTCACACACAGAGGACTCCAGAACTTGGTCAGTCTTTCAGCTGGTGGTGGCCCAAAAAGCACTCAGAAGCACTAGGAGCAACTGGAGCAGCTTTTCAGTGTGTTGCAGCCCAGCATCAGTGGATGAACGACCTTGCCCTTTCCAGGGGATGGGCTGGGGGAAGGATCCCCCTTTCACAGGGTTAGACAACTCTTGGAAGTAGCTAAAACTTGCTTTCCTTTCCAGAGCTCTTAAAGATTCAGTGGCTTTGTGGGAGGGAGGGAAGCAGGGGAGCACAGCTCAGGGCCTTTTTGTAAGAGCAGGAGTGATGCCCTCATCTGCTGGAGCAGCAAGGCGCTCTCTCTGGGAATAAGGTGATAACAAGTCTTTCAAGTTTTATTAATGTTTGTGACAGATTGCCCTAGAGGAAGAGAGGGAATAAGGAAAACAGCCAGCCAGCCAGCCCTAGGATGATAACAAGGAAGGTGTGTGTGTCACAGGTTGCATTTCAACCACCTGAAATTCATTTCTAAAGCCTTATGTGTTTTACAGGTTGAACCTATGTAGGGGGAAGTATGTTGTACTCTGTTCTAGTGACGCTTACTCCCAGACAAAGGATTGCAGTGAGCTTTTATTAGTACTTCCCCCCACCCACATCTGTTTTGTGAACGCAGTTTTAAAAACCAACATATTGACTTCATTATGTGTAACTAAAAAGAAAAAGTTACAGATATTTGGGATAGGTGATGTCTATGAATTTTTCTTGGAAGCATGGTTAACTGGGGCTATCATAATGAGTTTCTGCATTTCAAAATTTATTACTAACTGCTGGGGAGGAGCGATTACTGAAGGTACCAAATAGTACCTGTGACTCCACTGTAGCTACTCCAACTGTCTCTCCCCCGACCCCCACATCTGACCACATATGCATGTAGACCCAAGCAGCCCTGCCAAGAATGGGCAGCCCTGCCCCTCTGATACTAGAGCAGAGGAAACCTTTGGTGACTCAAGTCCATTAACAAATAGACCAACAAACTGCTGGGTAGCTATAAAAAACATCAGGTAGTGCCTTTTTAAAATATATATGAAAATTAAGCTATGAGGGAATATAAGTTAGCTGGGGAAATAATGTTCAGGCCCCCAATTCTGAAAGCAGGTACTATAATCTACTATAGTATGCAACCATGAAAAACCATGGGTCAAATTAAAGCCAGGCTGCAGAATTGTACAGTACTTCTCACAAAAGACCTTCAGAATGTGCTTCCTAAAGTGGCTGTTTTAGGCAGAACGTCTTAAAGCGCACAGTTACATCAAAATCATGAACGTTTAGAAAGATGGATGCTTTTGTCTAGCAGGGTGGGGGCACCTCTACTGAGGGAGAACACACCATTGCTGCAGCAAGGTTTATATTCAGAAGCCATCGGGTGTCTGTTTGGTGAGAGTCATCCTTCCATCTGATCTAATAATGAGCTTCAACTTGTGAGAAGAATTCTGCATTCCAAAATCTGTGCTACCTCCAAACATGGTACATATTGATATGGCTAGACTAATACTGCCATGAATAGTTTTAATAAGAGAGTAAATATCTTTGGCACATTTGATGAACAAAAGCTGCACGTTAACTGTGTGTACATTTTACACAGGTGGCCCAAAACTGTCAGCAAAATGGACATCACAGGTGTTCTAAAAACAGAATGCAGGTGGATGAGAAACTCTGAGTTCTGGGACGGAGCTGTTTTGGAGGGACAAAGCAAGGGCTCCTGATTACTTGACCCTGGAGCTTGCACAATTACTTTTAATTTATTCAATTTTACACTTATTTGTTTACTGTCCTGAAAATTGTTTGATGCCTGCCTTTTTTCATAAATTGTCTAAATATTGCACCCAAACAGAGCCCCAACCTGGTGTTTTTAAAGAAAAATAGCTTCGGTAGGGGGATTGTGAGAAGCAACAGCATGGGAAGGGAAGATGTTTAACCCCCTTCCCTGCTTCTCATTTCTCCACTGCAAATTTCTGCATCTATGTGCTTTGAACCACAAAGTGGTAAAAGTTGTATGGGATGACTGGTAGCAGAAAAAAAAAATGATCAAGGAAAAGATTAAACACACCTTCTCCCCTCCATGCTGCTTCACTCAACCCCCCCCCCCTTGAAGAATCTTTCTTTTAAAATAAGCAGAGACACACTGGGGCTCTCCTATTCACACCTGCACAGTAGCCCTAGATTATTCCTTTGGTTGGATTTTAGGAAATGCTCTCTTCCCCTTGAAGGTGACTGGTCCAGAAAAACTGCCCTGAATTTTCTATTCCTATATAAAGAGAGCAAAACAACCAGAAAGCTACATTTCCTAACCCCTTTTCTTAGACGCTTAAACCACAGTAATTTCAATAAGAATTGCTTCTGAGCAGGGGTGCTTAGGATTGGAGTCTAAGTGCAGTCAAATTGAACTTCAAAATGAAAAGATAAAAACACAGCTTCGGGTCATAACAAATGGGCAACAGCCGGATATCCTCCAGTGGTACAGGGCTACAATTCCCATAATCTTCCACATCTACTCCAACCACAGAGCGTATGTTTGGATATTAAATATGAATGTTACACCCTTTGTGCTTCTAAACAGGAATAACATGCAATGTGAATTGAACTGCAGCATCCTTGATTAAATACAATTCCCTCTATTTGTGCTATTTCAAAATTAGAAAGATACGCAACATCTGCTATCGTGGTTCAAGGGCTCAAGAGTAGGCATCCAACAAAGCTGGGCCTGTGCTGGACATTTCAGCCTGACCTAATATTGCAAAAAAAAAACAAAAAAACCCTCCCCTCTTCCAAGAGCAGCACTTAGGCTGCAAGCCTATACACATTTACACAGGAGCAAGTCCCACTAAACACAACAGTGCTTCCAAGCAGCCAGGCAAGAGTGCCATTTTACTGCAATTGATTTAGCCATAAACGGTGCAGAATCTATCCCCCCAAAGGCTTGCTATCTACATGCTGTTATTTTTAGAGCATCTACCATGGTGGGATTTAGGCAACCGGGACCACTCAGTGCAACCAAAGGCAGCACAAATCAAGGACTGGCCAGCATGGCAGCTTTCCCAGAAACTCAGATTAACACATTTGTTTTTCACAGTTAGTGATGCACATGAGAGGAATAAGTGAAAGAGCGGCTCACTTTGCCTTACTTTTTGTTTTAAAATGTCTGTAACATCCAGGCCCAGGATAAATCTGACCTGGAAAGCATCTGAGCAGCAGCTGTCTCTTGCAAGTCAGTTGTGGAGGGGGAGGGGGGCATTAGGGAGCTGGAAAAACAGCCTGCTCTGTTCTGTGTCTGGCTCAAACCTGGACAGGCTCTGATTTGATTAAACACTAAAGGCTGCTATAAAATAAAGGACTTCGTGTGACTGCAGCTTTCTAAGCTGTCTGTGCCCAAACCTTATGATTGTACTTCATGTGCTCTTGTTTATGGTTTAACTTAAAGCTTTTATCTGTGTCCTGGCTTCCAAGAAAGCAAAAAAAAAAAAAAAAAAAAAAACCCCAACAAATCATTATTTTTAAAACAATCCATTTGCATTGTTAAAAGGCATGGCGGCACATGAGCTGAAATCATCTCAAAGGTCTAAATTCAGCTAAATTGTGTTCAGCCCAGGCAGATTAACATAATCCTTAACAGGGTAGACTGTACAAGAGAGAGGTTTCTTTGTTCTCCAACTCGACTTTATGTAGATTTTATCCAAAACAAGTATTAGCTTCCATATGCAGGCAAAGGACTGCAGTACTACCTTAAATGTAGAACAGCCTTTCCCTTGGTCAGTGTTTGAATGCTATGCCTATTAAAAGGGGAGGGGTAAAAGTTAGAGCTCCTATTTCACTTGGATTCCTCCTTAACCCTCACTTGCCAAAGGTCTGACAATAGAGACCTTTTAAATACAGCGAGAACTTGCACAGAAAAGCCAGCCCTTGTTATTATTATTTTTAAAAATAAACAACATGCAAAATATGTCTCAGCTTGAACCACAGCATGTGGTTACTTTTCCTAAGGCTAGCTTAAGCAGGGACCAACCAAGAACACAGGAAGTGCTAGAACTGCCATTGAAGTGCAAGGTAAAACACAACTTACCAGGGCAGGTTGTTCCTCTCTCTCAAGCACACGCTGGAAATCTGGGGGATCATTTCCACAACTTTCTTTGTGGGCTCAGAGATGTAGCTCTTATAGTCAGACAGGCTCTCCTTCTGCTGCAGAAGCTCCTGCTTGGCGTACTCCTTGAGTCGCTTGTACAGGGTGCGCAGGCCCTGCGCGGTGCGAGGTGGCCGGTCAACCCCAATAGCATTGTAGTTGTCAGCTATGATGTCCCAGCATTTGTTTTTTTCCACTATGACCGAGTGTTTGTTGGTGTGCTCTTCAAGAATTTTAACATAGGGCTTGACAAGTTTCAGCAAATCCAGCTTTTCAGACAAGGTAAAATTCGAGGACCGGGCCTTCCCAACCATCCTCCTCTCCAGCTTGAAGCAGCAGCAGCAGTTCCTGCAACCACCACACCGATCCTAGCTCTCCTCGGCTCTTTTTCACAAACAGAAAAGATCAGGCTTAACTAGGCTTGTCTCATTTAGGCCCCCGCCTACAAGGGAGGGTTTATTAAAATTCCTCCAGCTTAAGCTGACGCAGGTTCAGGAAATCTGCTTAAGCCAAGCCTGACCTACATAAGGCTTCAAACTGAAGGAGATGAGAAGAAACAGGCAAAACACATACACTTTTGTGTCAAGAGTTTTCCCCATACATACGCTGGGATTGAAAACATAAAGGTTTAAAGATTAGCACATTACCCTGCTAAATATTACCCAATTTATCCTGAGTTAACAAGCTCACGCACATCCCTTGAGCTGAAAGAAATTGAAACTGCACAGGAGACTGGATTTATTTGTGTCCAAGAAAACAACAACTTATCTGTGTGTGTGTTTTTGTGGGGGGAGTCATTTATTGGTTGTTAAGCTGAAACACCACAGCAAAAAGCAGCATGAAAAACGCGAACAGCCACAGCGAGCCGGGGGATTTGGGAGCTGGCGTGTGTAGAGAGATCCCTAACAGAGCCCCTGATCATGGTTCCGAGCTGCTGTTCTCTCTGGCACATTTGCATAATGCTAGTCCTGCTGTCAATCAGCAATTGCATATTGCCTAGCTAGTTAGGTTTCACTCAGGGCTCAGGCTTCACAGCAAAGCTAAGCTTCCCCAGCATTTTGCAGTGTGCACCTCGGCTCTCTCGCATGCATGTATGCGCGTGCCCGCACACGCACAGACTTTTTAAAGAGGCAGTCTCCAGACAAGAGGGCAGAGTACATAAACGCGAGTTATTTCCATCACGCTGCTGTAGTCCTTCCAAAATCTGCTCTACTTACAGTGTCTCTGACCTCTGTTCAGCAGGGATCCTGGTGAAGAAGCATCCCTCAGGGGGCATGTAAAAACCATTTCCAGAGAGTCACTCTTTCAGTCTATTGCAGCAAGAACAACAAAGAGTCTTGTCGCTCCTTAAAGGTGAACACATTTATTCTGGCATAAGCTTTCCTGGACTTACAACCCACTTTGTTTTGGATGCATTCAGTATTTTCCCAATCTGGTGCTGTCAGGATGTGTTGGATGCAAATTCCATCACCCTCAGTTACAGTGACTGGCTGAAGAGTCCAACACATCTGGAAGGCATCAGGCTGGGGAAGGCTGGAGGAAACCCAGTCATTCTATCAATGGAAAACACCAACTTTGAAACTACTGTTTGCAAGCAAACAAAGAGACATTAATGGGGAACGAGAGAAAATGTTGGACTTGAACATGGGAGATTGGCTTCTCAAAGTGAACAGGGTCAAAGCGCCATCTCTTCACAAATTTTACTTCACTGGGTTGTTGCAAATGTAAATTGCAATATAGTGAAACTTGCCCTGTGCCTATAAAACAAACATTCATATTTCCTTCGTGCTGGAATAAAATACTTTAAATCAAGAAAGCCAAAAGGGATACAGATCTAACAAAAGTGGGTTTTGTGGGAATTCCATTTGCTAGCTAATAAGGCACCCATGTTTCACCTAAAGTTATTGACAGATCCAAGTAACAGCTATATTCGGTATTTTCAATGATTAGGGATCAACATTGTGCATTTCTTTGTCCCAGCAGCCCTAGGTGCAACCTGAAACCTGCATGGCACCTGGACTAATCCACTTAAGCCAGCTATCTCCTCCTACCCTTCCCTTTAATATTCTGTGACCAAATGCTGACACGGCAGTTACAATATACAGTCAGCTTTTTGTCTTCCCTCTCCTGCATGTTGTTTATTCTCCAGTATGTTGAAGGGTTTGAAACTATTCCCTAATACAGGATACTACCTGAGCACTGATTCTAGATTTTTTCTTATAGATCAACACAACTAACTTTTTTAATTTAGAAGCAATCCATTTATATTTTTCCTTGCAAACAATTTGTCTGCAATGCAATTTGAAAAGCTCTAATTCAAGATTCAAATGCTACTTTAGTCCTAATATTTTTATTCATATGAAGGGAAGCTAAATTAAAATCTATCTACTGTAGGCTGTTTCAAGAATGGCCCCTCCAGCACATTATAACATGGTTGTCTCTGTTACCAATGCACATATTTGTTGGCAATTTTATTAATTCATGTGTGAGCCCAAGCAAATAAAAGCAGAGTTCTAAACTATGATTTTCAAAAAACCTGAACAGGAATATAGTTCTGAGGAAATTAAAACAAACTTTTCTAAATAGGCAAACCAAATTTTTAACCTTCATTTATCATTTATAAATCTGTATTTTGTGCTGGTTAGATATGGTATGGTATAGTATAGTATAATATAAAATGTGTAATATAGTGGTTAGAGTCTGGCCATCACCTGGGAAGACCTCAATTCAAATCCTTAGTCAACTATTAGGATCACCAAATAGTAGCTGGTGCAAGACTGATTACGATCTCTCAATTTAATGTACCTCAGATAAATGCCATAACAATAAAAGGGAAGGGGAGCTTCCTCAAAGCTCTTTCAAGGGTGTATAGAATAAAAATGTAATAAATGAAAAATAAATTTATATATATAAAGAATATTCAACTTTTGTTATTTTTTTTCTTTCATGTATTATGAATTAGAAAGTTCTGTTAGAGACTAGGAAATAATAAAGTTCAAGTACACCAGGAAGCATGTGCTTACAAGAGATGCCAACAGACAAAATAAGTTTGTCAAATGTTACATATGTGCAAATATTTAATCAAACTATGTATAGTTAGGTATATCAGATCTGAATGGAATGTTTTTATTTATTCATTTGCGGTATTTATACCTCACCTTTCTAATTCAAGACTGTCTGGCAGAGGAATTCTATACATGTCTACTCATAAATAAATCCCACTGAGTTCTGTGTACCCTAGTCCCAGGTAAACAAGAGCAGAATTACAGCACAAATAATTGAGGGTGGATAACAAATACAGGAATCATTTTTTAAAAAACCTAAAATTTAATGAAAAACAGCAGGTAAAAAATCAGGGGAACCACAAAAACAAAAGGAATCCAGACCCGCCCCCCCATACAAAAGGGCTTACATAAAATGAAGCCATTACGAATATACTACTCATCCGATGCAGTATTTATAGCAAGCATTGAACAGGATGCACAAAAAATCAAATTTGAAAGGAATGGATAAAAGAAAGGCAAGATCTAATCAGTTTTATATTTTGGGGAAAAAGACACACACCAATTTTATCTGTGCCATATCTACTGCCAGATTAAAATGTTAACCTAATTTATTAATGACTGCACTTTAAACTCAGTCTAGTGAGCAAATCTTAGAAGTTCTCATCCACAAACATATGAAGCTTGCCCTATTCTGTTCTAGAAAGGCACTACAAATTTGGGACTTCCAGAAACTGGTAGGTGAAATGTGCTTTCATTCAATAATATGGTAAAGGTATGGTTTTGGGAAGTGCCTTAGTTTTTATACAGCATAATCACATGCATTCTATTCAGACATCACTCGCACTGATCTCACTGAGACACTCTTCCAACTGCGTATCTGTAGGATTTCCACTGTAAACTGACCATGAAAGCCTGGATTTGTAAGGTGGCCTCCTCTTGTCCTTATGTTACAGGGCTAGACAACTCGTGGTCCTTCACATCTTTTTGAACTGATGTCTCCCATCATTCCTCACCTATACATATATTGGCTAAGCCTGATGGGAGTTGTAGGTGAAAACAGCTGGAGGGATACAGGTTGCCCAGCCTGCTCAGGGAATGGTGTGATGAAAAATGTTCTCCCATCACTGCAGCAGTACTATAACAAGAAAATTGCTCCTGCTGGAGATCTTGGAAACACAGCTAAGCTAAGTCAGGTGTTTAAGGCCTGAAGCTGGCAAGCTAATTCCATGAGCAACCATGTCACAATTTATACTAAAACTCTGCTCATGAGGCACTATAGTGTAAATCACATGCAGAAAGTCCAGATTTAGTCCCCACCTCTCCAGACAGGGCTGAGAAATACACCAGTCTGTAACCCCTCAGCACTACTGCCAACTATTGCACACACAATACTGAGCATAATGGATTAACTGCCTGACTCAGATGGTCCTTATCCACTCAGACCAAAGCCACAATGCCATAGCTGCAATCAACATCCACAATTTGTTAAGTGGCACGATTCACCATGAATAATTTCGTTTTAAAAAAATCTCAATTCTCTTTAGAACTGCTTACAAATTTCCACATAAACCTCCTTTGTAAATACTCAAACATCATCAGCTTCCAAAGATGATAAAATCCTTTTCACTAATATGCACAAAGCTCCTCATTACAATTGCACAGTATCCATAAGTCTGGTATTTTGTATACTTTCCATTTCAGTTTCAATAGCAGAAGAATGAAATTTGGACCAACAGAATCTACCACTGACATACAAGCATAAGAAAAGCCATGCTGGGTCAGACTCCAGGCTTGCTCCCACAGCTGCCAAGCATTCACAAGACATTCCACCAGGATCCGAGTGCAACAATACCCTCCCACCCGTGCTCCCAATTCCTAAACTACATATATAGTTTAGGCGTCATAAATAGAAGCCAGCAAATTGTCTAAGCCATCCATGTTGGTGACCATCACTACATTTTCTGGTAGTGGGTCCAGTTCTTTTTAGCTGCCCTGAATTTCCACCATTCAGTTTTATTGGTGTATTCCCCAAGTGGAAGCATTACTTTTCTACTCCGTACATAATTAAGGTGGGAATGCTAAGGAAGTACACTACAGCCTAGACACTTCACAATTACTTGAAAACCGGAGGAATTGGACATAGTTAGCAGTAGGGCACTCCAGGATGCTGCCATGCCCCAATGTTCTAATATCAGCTGCTATAGGCTAGATGCGGAACTGAGAAAGGACCATTGCTGGTCCTACCACATCCTCCTTCATGTTTATATTGCTAGGTCAACACCCAAAGTAGACTCTGCCATGGAATCTGGACTATATTAAAGGCATATAAAAACTTAGACAGGAAAAAAGACCTATATGCTATGCAGCGTGGGGAGCTGTAAACTTTATCCTGTGTAACCTTTCATATGAGGGCAACCTAGGTCAGTCACTTCCTCAAGTAATTATTCTGAAGCACTATTATTTATTGTAACCAGAATGTTAGCCACATGAACATGACCTCAGTATGTTTACTTTGATGATCTAATTATATATTTACCCTGATGAGTGTATGATGAATTTATCTATTCCTAGAATCTGCATATGTAAGATTATCCCTGAAGAAAGTACCCATAATTCCCAAACATGTTGAGTTTTTTAAAATTTCACTGAACCTTTGAGAAAGTCTTCTCTTTTTGCACTGTCTTTTAAAAATAGCTGCTATCCATTCCCAAATACACATTACCAAGTTGTATCCCTTTCTTCACTTTGAGGACCTAAACTGACATCATTATTTCAGCTTTCACCCATGTCATTTTAAAACCAGTTCCAATTTATGTATTAGAACATCAAACATGACTTACCTGTTTCTGTTCTATATACTGATTTTGCTCCAGTTTCCAAATGCCAAATCTCTTCATTTTTCTGGGAGGAAATTTTTCCTTGATCAGATGGCACAGCTGCCATAGAACTAAAGCCAGAAGTTGCAGAACAAATCTTCATGGATACTGAGTCATCTCGTTGTATCTCATCCACCTACAGTACACCAAAACATTCATTTTTTAATGCAACAGTAACAAAATTAATGCACAGTTTCCCCCTTACTTATATAAACAACTAAGTGTAAAATAATCCATGGCTGCATGCTGCAGGAAAACAGCCCTGAAGAGGGGAGGACCTTCACATACTATGGAGACTCTTCAAAAATCCAGCCTAAACTTAAGGACTGATTAATGTTCTGGTCAGTCAAAATGAAACTACAGTCCTAACTCAGGCAACCGAGTGTTGTGTTTGATCAACATGTGACAGTAGAGCATGTGAATGAGCCACCTTTCTGCCGTCCTCATAGTCCTCAACAAGATGGAGGGTAACTTCTGAAGCAGGGAGTCTTCTCTACTGGTGGGACCTCCTTGTGCACATCAGAATCCCAGACAAGCACCATAGGGCTTAGAGGGCAAACAAAAGTAGGGAGAAAGCAGAACTTGAACACTGTGCCTGATATCTATGGAGGAAATGTGTGTGTAGAGAAGTGTTTGATCAGGTGATCCCCACCTGTGGTACCGCTCAGAAAGAGATACGTCAGGGAGAACTAGGCCATAGAAAAAAATAGAATTCAGTTCCCCTCAGATTCCATGAATTATTGACAATGATTTTTGAAACACAGTTGGCACTGAGTAATACTACTACTACTACTACACTTGTTGCCTTCTTCTCTTTTTCATATTACCTCAACTGTTCGAATTTTTGTATGTGAGAGTTGGGATTCCTTCCCCAGGGACACCGTGTGGATTTTTGTTGGAGGCAGAAACCTTGGCTTTTTGGCTGAATTCCCCAACAGCTGACTTGGAGCTACTGATCGTCTCATGTTCAAGTTTACTGGCCTGAAAAACAGTAATAAAGACATCAATAAAGAATCACAGAATTAGAAGGGACCCGGGAGATATTCCTGTCCGCCGACACACAGCAGGATCTGCATTGCAGGATGCAACTACCAATCATCACATTAAACTGGTTCTCATTCCTGCTCCAGGCAGTCTTCCTGTGATATTAAATGAGACAAGATAAGCGTGTGGAGACCAAATATAAAGATTTTTTGGTTCTCCCTGAAGTCCTGAGATACCTTTTTGGTAACAGGTAAACATAATTTTACCTTCCCATTCTTTTTAACACAGCAGTGGTTTTCTGTAGTTTCATTTTTATATTACTTTGTTGTGATCATTCTTGTTAGTCCTAGTAACATTGGAAATTCTTGTAGTGTACAGGAGATTATAACATATAGTAACCCATACAGAACAAAGTGAATACAGCTAGGTCATGATAAATGAGAGTTCAAATGATGTGGCATTTGTTTTAGTGCAAATTGTACAATGCCATCAAGTCACATTTAATGCAAACCAAAATTCAGTTAATCTGAGGCTACCTCATGCAGAGTTGGGGTTACCAGCTTACCATTAGGATATTAGACACTGCTACTTCAGTTTGCACTTGTTTATCTTTGCATATGCATGTATTGCTGCCAAAGATAAACATATGTTAGCTTTCATGATTTGTTTTAAGATGTGCCCTTAACAAAAGGGACAAAAGGAAAATTCCTTCAGATAAAAACAGTATGAGTGTGAAGAGGCGGCGGCTTGTTATTACATTAGAGCAAAAATGTGATGTGACTGAACAACATGCATGTGGTCATAGCAACTCTAAAGGTAAAGATGCATTAAAAGGTAAAGTTGAATCAGCTTTTTGTGGTTTGTAAACATATACAATGAGTAGAAGTGTTACAATAAGATAAACACGAGCTGAAACACTCAAGCTGAAACCAATTATCATATTTTACATATAATTATAACTTTGACTAGTGCAAATGCAAATAATTCAGCCATTTCATGGGAGTCATTACCTCCACTGATCAAGACCTAGGTGTATGATCCTGGTATCCATCACACTGCCTAGAACTCCTGCCCACATCCAGCAATCTAATCCCAGCAAAACTGCCCACAGCCAGTTGCTAATACAGACTAAGAAATGCAAATAAAAACATTCACACTTGCTGAGTTCTTTGCACTTCATGTTTAGTTCTGTATAAAGCTCCTCATATCCCTGCCTGGAGAAAATATCACCTAAGTAAACTTCTGGAACTTACCTGAAGGTACCTTTGGTTTTGGCTCATGTCCAACGTGCCTTTTCTCCAAAAACTACAAATGTCGAACTGCAAAATGCATTTGAGCATGAGCAAAGGAACTTTTTTCCTACAGAAGGTCAACAGCTTTCTTGCTAAGCCTGATTGTAGAACCACGTGCTTCTGATATTGTGCGGAGTGCTTTTTGCCTTCCCCTAAAACGTGGTTTAGGAAATACACATATAAAAAGGAGAAGCTGTCCAAGCTGCATAAAGTTTTTAAAAATCCGCGTACTGGAAACCCCAAAAGACCGTATGCCTGTGCTAGCTCTTTAATGCCTAATCGTGGCCTATCGCGGTTTCTACACCTGCCCTCTTCACTCCCGTTCCCCAGCAGCCAGAGCACAAAACCGGACTTACACCACAATTTAATCGTCCCGCCGCACGGGAAGCACCTCTCCTGCATCCAGCCGCTCGCTAAGCCGCGCATGCGCGCCTCCACGCAACAGCCCAGCACCGTGTTCCCGCCCGTGAGCTCTGCTCATCCTACTGCGCATGCCCTATCTATGCACGTCCATCATCAATAGACTTTCTCCTGCCTTATCGTCAGCACTTAAAGTGAGAGACGTCTCTAGCTGTTCTATTGCGCGTGCCTCGCTAATGGTTTTGCCACTTTCAGCATGACAGGATGCGTGGTACAGTACACTTTACGACGCAGAACCGTCAAGCATATCGTCGCAAGAAAAGTTTTATAGCGATTGTGCGCTGTTTAGAAGCCGAGGGTTAGAGAGAGAACCAAGCTCCGAGGCTGGAAGGGGGTGCTGCTGAATGTCTGCGAATCACAGAGAAAGAAATCGTCAAGTTTCGATCCAGTGCACGTTTACACAGGAAGAAGTCCTACAGCCATGCCATTGCAGAACTTTTTTTAATCGAAGCATGCATAGCCCTAACACAGAGATAGAGAACTTTCTGATTCCTTAGATCAGACTTTTCCATCTTTCTAATGGAGTGAGAGCTCCCCTTTGAGAACAATGAAGAAATACAGGATGAAAGAGTAATAAGAGCAGAGGTTCATAGCCTTTCTAACTTGGATTTTATTTCATTTGAAAAAGGATATTTGAATATTATTTATTTATTAGGCATTGCAACATTGTCACACAAATTCCTGTGGCAGCAAAACCTCATGTTCCTATTGCAAGGAGAGAGTGGCATAAAGAACCACCCTTTTGCTTTGAGGAGAGGCACGCACTGCCGCCCAGTCACTGCCACACTGAAACTCACTTACCTGGAGATAAGTCCCATTGATCTCAATGGGGTTTACTTCTTTGTAGGCATGTCTTAAGATTTTACTACCAGGCTGCACTGCTCCGATGCACACTTATCTGAGAGTAGCCATGTCTAAATAACGTTGCCATCCTATACACACTTATCTGAGCGAAGTTCCACTGAACTCACTACCACCGCGTTGTCCTGCACAGGACTCCGCCTTAAAATCCTGAATTTCTCTGCTGTTTTCTATGGGCAGCGTTTAATTCCAGCTTTCGCTCGGCAATGGGGGCGGGGGTTCAAAAGGGACCCGGCAGTCGTGAAGCGCGAGTGACTCTACACGCGTGAGTCTAGGCTAAAGAAGGGGAGCCCCGAGAGGCGGCTGCGCGGCGGCGGGGAGGCGAGCGGTCCGTCCTCCTGCCTGCGGGGCCGGCGGGTTCGCGCGCCTCTCGCGGGCACTCCGGCGGACGCACTGGTGGCTGCGGGAGCGCTTTTCAAAGAAGGCGGTGAGGCGAAGAGCTTTCCCATGCGGTGGCTGGGGCGGGGCGGGCGAGCAGGAAGGCTGGCGAGGCTCTCCGCGCTGGCTTTTCAAGCTTTCGGAGGATGCGCTTTCTAAAAGCGACAAGAGTGGAGTGGGGAAGGACTGGGCACAGCAAATGCCAGTGGACGTGCCGGGAGGCGACCAGTTAAACTGGGCAAAAATAATGCTGTGGTGGCATCTGAACGATTTGATGAAGATAGGGTGGGCAGAAATCAGGTCATCAGATGTTTGGGACTTCAAGTCCCAGCATTTTGACCATTGACCATCCTGGCAGGGGCTTCTGGGAGTTGAAGTCCAGAGCCGGTGAAGACCGACTTACCTGCTGCCACACCTGATTTCAGAAATTGGGAGGTAATCTTTCTTGAACTAGAGCCAACTATCAAATGCTTGAAAATGGCAACTTTTGGAGAGAGAACTGAGCATCCTGCAGCAAAAATCACAAATCCATCTTAAAATGCAATCATGTGATTGTTTAGACAGGAAAAAAAATAGTTTTGCAGCTTCTGGAATGTCTGTCAGCTGTGTTGGCTAGGGCATGCTGGGAATTATAAGCCTTTTTTTCCTGAGTTCTTGATAGTAACTGGAAAAGCATTTCATCTATTTAGAAAGGAGAAAATTTGCACAAATCCTAAGAAACTAACAAAAATAGGTGGTTGGGGCAAGGGAAAACTCCATTGGGTTGTACTGGCACTTTTGAGGGGCCAGAAGTCCTGTACCCCAGTATGGAGGGAAGATGTGAACTGAGAGCTTTGCTTAAAATAAAAAAAAAGTTACAGATGCATGCATCTCTGTTTGGCTCCAGTGTTTATATCCTTCCTATACTGTTCTGTGTAACGGTTATTGTTTATTGCCTAGTGAGAATAATATTTCAGGCATCTGATCAAGTCTACTTTAAGGTTTACCCAGTCTGTTGTCACCTGTTCCACTGCTATGTAGAGTGTTCAGATATTGAGAGTGCAGTATATGGTAAATAGTATATTTGGATTCATGCAAAATCAAATATTTTTCCCTTTTGAGCTTAATGTAAGGTAAGCATGTGCCTTGATCTCTCCCATTGACACAATTAAAAATGTTTTACTTTCACTGGATTATTTCTGCTATGGACCAGAGTTTGTTCCTTACATATGGGAGGGGGCACAATTATGTGGTACTCATCTGTTTCCATACATTGGCAAGTACTTGTAGAAAGAAAAGGTATCTTAGCTGAAGAACAAACTTTGTTTTAAACTCTCTAGGGTTAAGCATAGGTTAAAATCTATATGATAAGGTATTTTTACACCAGCTTTCTTGCCACTTTTCATTTCACATAATTTGTGTTGGACTATAGCCAAACAAAAGTTACTTTTCTTATCCAAGCTAAACTGTTTCCTGAGGCTCTGTAACTGCTGTTTGTTTGTACCATTCAGTGACATTTCAGAAGCCTGGCCAATAGCAGGAAGAAGCTTGCATGCCACTAGATTATATCAACACCCTTAAATGTCAGAATCAGCTCTTTGCTTGGGAACTCCATAAAAATTGCCAGCCAGTCCAATCCCTTATGCTTTCATAGACCTTTAAGCATGGACTCTGATGCACTGCCTTGAATTTCAAAGACAATGGGTGAAATGGCTGTGGTTCTCCATTTGCTGATAATTCTGTGTCTTGTTCCTGTGTTTGGTGATAGGAGTTTGAGAAAACAATGGGTTATGATATTGAGCGTTTCATTGGTTACGTTAATGAAGGCCTGCTGTGCTGTATCTGCCGAGATGTGCTGGAAGATCCGCTGCAGGCTCCTTGTGAACATGCATTCTGCGCTTCCTGCATACATGGATGGCTTGTTCATCACAGTAGCTGCCCAGAAGATCGCCAGCCCCTTGATCTGTCAGTCCTTCGACCACTTTACAGGTGCCTAACAAAGGATTATTTCAGAGGAGCTCGAGCTATGTTAATGCACTCATGGAAAATGGGGATCTGTTCTGTTCTTGTTTTGGAATTACATTAGCTTCCCCTATTGTATGAACAATGGAAAAGTGAAATTGGCTAGGATAGAGTCCTATCATCCCTAGACATTGTTTGGGGGATCATAAGATACTTCAGATTCCCAGATTCGCAGTCAAAGGCTGAACTAACTTGGAGCTGGGAATCTGTGCTCTTGTTCTCTCTGCAGCCAGCATGGAAAGAACTGTGCTGGTTGCCTGTCCAAGGTTAGGAACTCAACCTTGATGACAGAGTAAAGAATGCATCAAAAGTAAGACAATGTAACCTGTTCCCTCTGCAGCCTTCTACCCTCCACCTGAGAAGCACCATAGTTAGACAGCTGAAAACACACAGGATGCTTGTAAGCTTTCGAGTGGAGGGTGTTGAGGGTACAACCCATGAGATTGGACCCTAAGTCAATTTTACTTTGAATTTAACAAATTTGAACAGTGGGCATCACCTAGCCCTGTGTGGTTTGCTGTCCAATTGTTGCAAATATTTGTACTGCTTTTTTTTTTTTTAAAAATGATGGCTATGAAATCTGGGATTTAGCAATGAGAGATGTTATTGTTAAAGGCCCAGGATGGTCATAGGTGTCTCTTTACAAGAACTGTTAGAAGATAGTTTCTTGCTGCAGCTGTCTTCACATGAATGTGTGGAATGGGAAAGCCATTAAGTTTGGGGTGGGGGGAATACAAACCCTACCCCAGCTGAAGAATGGAGACTGATGTAAGGCATGTATGAGCACAGGGATAAAACCGGTTCGGGGGGACAGCAAGGCAGCAAGCTGTGAGATGAAATATGAAACTATTTCCAAGTGTTTTGCTGCATGCCTTCACTATGCCGGTCTTTCCTAAATTGGTGCCCTCAAGATGTATTGGATCACAACTCCCATCATCTCCAGCTGTGTGGGGGATCCTGTGGGTTCAAGCCCAAAATGTCTGAAGGGCCCTGTGTTGGAGAGTTTAACCTATGCTGTTCCTATATATTTATAAACAAGCCAGATGTCAAAAAATGCTATCGGTGTTCTCTCAACAAAAGGAAGCTAAAGTTAGTAGCAACATTTCTAGAATGTTTTAATGGCCATGGGAGCAAGGAACTTGTAATTGTAGAATTTCAGTTCAATGATTTCCCTTGTGCTTGAAAGAGAAGGCAAGCCTTTATTTTCTTGCAAGTTGTTGTCTCAGTTGTTCTCCACTAAATATTCCCTTCATGGAATCAAGAGATATTATGAAAATAAAACATCTTACGGTATTGCAAAAATGAAAGGAATTCTGTCTTCAGATATATGAGAAACGATCTTAATCGGCTCCAGCTTCACTGCAGAAACAGAGGCTGCAGCTGTGAAATGGTGTGCTCACTGGAGTCCATTGACCGGCATGAACGGGAGTGTGAATACAGCCAGATTCCATGCTCAAACACGGGTAGGTGGAACGTGGGGACATTTGGAAATAGCAGGTCTTCTTCATAATTCTGTTCCAAATTTTAGACAAGAACTTTTACTGCATGACCACTGTGAATGCTTTTGCCTATTTGTCTGCAGATGTTTGTGTACCTGTTGCCAACACTGGGTTGTATCCAGTGTTAGTCAAACTTAAGTCTTATTCTCAGGGTACATTCTAAGTAGGACTAGCACTGACTACAACCCATCTACTGAAGCAAACTAGATTTGGTGAGGAGACTGCACTAGTGTTTGGAAAACTGGATGGCAGCTAATATTGATCAAAGTGAGTTTATCAAATTGCCAAAGCTTGGCTACCCCTGCACTGAGTAAATGAAGGGGGTGCAAATCTGTGATCCTTCATTCATGGTAGCTGAAGCAGATGGGAGCTGGAATCGCACAGCATCTGGAGGGCCGTTCCCCAACTCCTGTACTAGATATTCTGATAATAACGCACTAACATACAGAAACCCCTTACTAGCAGTTGACATTTTCTCAGAAAATGTTAAAAATGAAAGAGCTTTTTCTTCCTGTGTGTGGCCTTGAAGACAAAATCACTTACTGTGTTTCCTCCAATCTTGCACTTTTCATTCAGGTTGCCCAGTTCAGGTTGAACGGCGTAACTTAAACAGCCACTTGGCAGTGTGCGAGTATCGGAACCGTGAATGCCCCAATGGTTGTGGGTATGGCATTCTCAGTGCTGATGATGCACACCACAACTGTGTGGCTGAGCTGAGAACAGAACTAGAATTACTCAGGTAAAGCTGATTTCTATAGTTCCTTGAGTGCTCACCGTTTGAAACTGTAGGCATAAATTAAGTAATCTCAGCATCTGTGAATCCATTGACAAGAAAAAGCTGGATGCTATAAAAGCAGACTGATGGATTACCTGTGGCCTAATGCTATGACCTCAGTTCCCATAAGTCATAAGTGATCCTGGTCATAAGTTTTTTACTCCGATTGCCTTTTTATATTGCTTCTTTTCTATTACATTCATTTGGGGAGGAAATCACAAAAGTGACTGTAAATTATCACTGAATTATATAGCATTTAACACATAATCCTTAAAATAGAATGTTGTGTTTATACGAAAAGCACAAGCTATTGCCCTCCCTCCCACAAAAAAAAGGAAAATAATTGATTCTTGAGCTCTGGAAAGTTTGAAACCATCTACTCTGTGCTTCATGGCACTGCCAGCACTGGAACTGCCACAGTTTACTAAGGAGCGACTGCAGCTGTGCCTATATGTTGTACAATATCAAAGAGTATGACAGCCTGCATGGCTGATGGTTCAGTCCCAGTATGGAAATACTTGAATGACTAATATGCCTGACTAGAAAAGTTAGGTTGGTTTTGACTTTCTTGTCACAGGTAAAATGACTAGCCTCAAGAATGCTATTTCTTTAGGTCAGAGATGATCTATCGAATGGAAGAAGCAAAACTTGAGATGGAATCACGCTTAGATTCCCAACGGAGACATATGGTGCAAAAGGAGTCACTATTGCAAAATGAAATTAAAGAGCTGAAGGTAAACGTGCTACTAGGCAGTCTTGGTACCTTAACCAGCATTCCCCTATTTGGTCCCCTTGTGTTAGGCTACAGCTCCCATAATCCCACAGGCATCTGGGAGGGCACTAGGTTAGGAAAGGATGACTTAAACTGTGGCCTTCTGTGAATTGGCATTGCTCTGTATTCCATGCTGAACTCTCGATTGCCAAGTAGCTACTGCATCTATCAGTTATCAGCAGCAAAAATTCCAATTGCAATTCGAAGAAGCAGCGTCTTTGTTACTAATGCATGGTAAATTTTTCCCAATCCTATTAGATTAATTTAGCAGAATAGCCCTCAGAAATCCCAAACTATTCTGATTTAAAAACCAAGACCATTTCTACATTGGTCAAGGGCTCCCCCAACATCTCCCACTCACTGAGAACTCTGCCTTGCTTTCCCACACTTACTGTACTAGCAGAGAGGACTGTCATTATAATACGCCTCACATGCTGATAAGGACTATTGTTGAAAATCCAGAGTTCTGTACTTTCCCTATGTATACCCCCAGGGCAGCCTTTCCCTTCTTAGTGCCTTCCAGATGTGCTGGACTATGCCTCCCATCAACCCTAGCTAGCTAGGTGACATTTTCGTCAGGACATCTAGAGGGCACCAGATTGAGGAAAACTGCTCAAGGGTCTGGTCTGAGACATACTAAAGCAAGAACAACCCTTCTTTCTTTGCTTTTAAACAGCCAAAGGAATGGGCTATTGACTGAAACTGATCCATTTTGCATCAGCCTGGAGTCCAGAGGGATTGGAACCAAAAATGATTTGAGGGATAGGTCTGTAATATGAGTAGGCAACAGAATTGCAGTTAGGGATAAGATGACTTCCACCCCTGTGCAGGTTGAATATTATTTGGTCTCTGTCTGAAACATCAGGTCCTTCTGAGCTTTCTGACACATCAAATAGGAACCATCTTCACTCTGTGCAAGGTTTCCACTTTGGAGCTAACCCATTCACAGTCAAACTGCCCACAGCCAAGCTATCCTTTGCCCTTTCCTATTAGGTAAGGACACAGGGCAGGTGAAGCTTGTCTGCTGCTTCCCTCCAGAAATCCTCCTGTTATCAGAAATTGCTGTTAAGTAGATTCTTATCCATACCTCCTTTTTAAGCCACCAGGCCAGGGGTTAGGGTCTGGAGATGATTGCTTTGAACTTGTCCAACCCTATATGGCCCTAAGTAGGAATCTTCACAGGTTGTTCCCTCCTCAGCCCAAATTTGGATTCCAGCATGTTGTCAACTGTCAATGCAATCAAATGAACTCAGCATGGAACTAGTTTGAGCCTTAGGTAGCCATTTTGTCAAGCCTTAGGCTGAGAGGGCTATGGTGTGAACTAGACTGCATAATTTGCAGCCCAGCACGGCAGAAGGGATTAAAGAACAAGAGTTCAAGGATGTAAAATGTTGGGATGGGAACTGCAGGTTTGGGGCATCTGGTTGGAAAAGGCTGTTCTCTCTCAGTAAAATCAGTGCAACTGCTGGACTTCCATACAGAAGTAATTCATTACTGCTTTTTTCTTTGGTAGAGTCAGATGTCCAGGATGATGTCTGACATAGGTATTCTGATGACAACAGAAAGACAGCATCGTCAAGAGCTGGAACAGGCAGAGCTTGAAAAACAGGAGTTGCTGGAGTTAATAAAGAGCCTCCAGACAGACTGTCGATTGTCTAGGGATGGAAACAAGAAAGCATCAAACTTCCAACCTCTGACACGACTGGAGAGTATGAAACGAAAATCCCGGGAAGTGACTGTCATATAAGCTGAAAGCAGTTTTCAGACTCAGCTTGAATTACTGAATTTCGCACCTCGTCATCTATATTTGGACTAGAGGGTAATTGTGACATTAAAACTTGCTCTGAATAATATGTACATGAATGAGATCAGGTCCACCAATTTATTCCCTTGGAATCTCCAGACCCCTCCTACAACCATTAGGTTTTAGCATGAGTTCATATTAGAAATTTAATGTCTGCAGTTGAAACACTTTTTTCCATGTGCCTATTTTTGTTTACTGACACTTGGCTCAGATATTTACCTAAATGTCTCTTTCCACTGGGTTTTTCGTCACTTAAGCCAAATTCTGTAGCCAAGCAGAAGCTAATGTACTTTAGGCCTTTCAGTGTGCTTGGAACTGCAGGGACAAAACTGAAATATTTTAGGGGACAAAGGGACCTTTTAGTGGTAGGCTTGTTGACCTGTGTAGCTATCTCAGTTATGATAGCTTAAGCAGTTTAAAACAAGTTAATAATATATTCAACAGGTCAGGTTTCAAATTTAAAAAAAGGTATAAGTGACATACCCAGAGCTTAAATCTAAAGAAAGAGCAGATTTTGTAGTGCCTTTGATATATCAATCTGTAAGAGACAGATTTGTAACCCAAGAGCCTGCAGTAGCAGCTGTAATAGTTATTTTCTTCTTGCAAATCAAGTCTCGTGGCCAAGGTCCAAAGCAAGCCTTGGGTGCCTGCAGTGTCGAACTCTGCTTGTAAAGATAAGTCAGTTTGCACAAGACCTTTAATTATTAGAAGACTAGCCTGAAGAATATTATTTTCAGGAACTCAAACCAAGCAGCCTCCAAGACTCCTCATAGCAACTGGTCCATTAGAAGTGACAGCTGCTTCTTAATCTGATATTTTGCTCCCAGTCTTGAATAATACGCAGTTAAATTTGGGAAAGCTAGCAAATGTACTTTTATATTAACTCTTTCAATAAGAGCATGGGGACTTATCTACAGCACCTTTAAAAGATGTTATACTTAAAGGGTTAGATCCAAATTCAATCTAATCTAAGTTCTACTTATTTCAGCAGGTCTATCAGGACAAAAACTGAATTCAGCTGTATAACTGTAGATACTTAAGATTTCATGAAGTTGAAGGTTACATCATACAGCTATGGAGTGCTTTTCATATTATGAAACTAAGATCTTAGCAGATCCTTTTCAAGTTAATGCACTTACCACCCTTTCTTAGCAGAAGACCAGCAAACCTTGTTTTTAATAAGTTAAAATAAATGTGTTAAATATGTTAAACCTATTCCCTCATTAAGCAATGTATCATGATGGGAAAACAGTAAAAAATAGGTTTTGGACTAACACATCTTTCAGCAGTTTAGCTGCTACCAAACATCAGACACTGAAACTTGTTGAGTGACAAGAATAGTTACATTTTTTATATACAAGATAAATTACTAGAAAAGGTTCAGTCTGTGAACTAATAAAACTAATTTATGTGCATGTGGATGTCTACAGATATTGTTTCTGAAGTCAAAACCAGTTGTAGATACTTACCATAGCCAAAGCCAAAAAAGGAATCAAATTGAAGCACTGTCAAAAAATCATATACATGCAAAGGAAAACAAACCTCAAGGGGGAAAACGGTGACTGCAGTTTGCAGCCTCTAATGGCTGTGACACCTCTGGTTCCAATATATTAAAGAAGACTTCCCTTTTCACTGGCTCAGCTGTTATGGCGTTATGAAATGTGTACAAGCAGTCCAACTACTTTTTTAAAAAATCTAACAGATAAAGGCCAAAGGGAGAGGCAGAGGTATGCAGTTTGTGGACGGGGGTGAAGCAGAGAACATGTCTTTTGAATATGCAGGACAAAGTGTGTATAATCTGTGAATTTGACAGATGGTACTAAACTGTGCACAATGTTTGAGCCAACATTGTGCACAGTGTATTAGTGTAAGCTAGCCTGAATATATTCTGTCTATAATTCATAAGGGAATTCTTCCTCTTGCCAAGAAATTCATTGCCACTGAAAGCAATGTTGTAAATGTAGTGGCTGGAGCTCTGCACAAGTGCTTCTCAACCCTACTTAAGCCAAGCCTTAAAAGGCTACCATTAATATCATGACAGGTAAATGAAATTTGCCCCATTGGCATGGATTTGGGTTAAATCCAGCATAACGCTCTGGTGAGTAAATGTGTGGGAGCAGCAATTCCTACTTTGAGCGGATGAAGGTTACAGTGCAAGCTTGCTAAAGCAAATGTTGACTTGTTGTGTTTGCCAAAACACATAAGCAACTGTATTCACACACAAAAAAAGTTTTATTGAAATCTCAGATCTCGTATCAAACAAAAATGAATTCTTCAAAAAAGGGAAAAAAAAAACCTTGCTGCCCCCAGATACCAGTAAGTCTAGCATTGGTCCTCAATTACACTTTTGTCACCATCTTGAAATGTTCACAGTCAGGATGTTCTCAAAGGTCTATTTATCGAGTAAAAGAACGGACATGGCGACCTCTTCCACTGCCTCCGCTAACAAACTTGCCCCTTGAGCCACCACTACCGCTGCTATTTGCACTTGCCCAAGAAGGTCCAATTCCACCACGGCCTCTGGAAGCACGATCACGAGGACTGGGCCGGTAGCCTTAAACAGAATGAAAGAATATTAGAGGCATCACTACTGTACATTTACTAAGACTCTCTATAAGGGTCAATCTATGAGTTATAAGAGGGTTGGGCAACTTTGGGCACTCAGGATGACACTTCCCTCCCACCCCTACGACAGTGACAAAAAATGCAAAAGTTGACAATTGTCAACAAATTTCTACAGCAAACTAGTATGAAGGCTTGATAAGAAGATAAATAAATTTTAAAAAGTTATTGATTTAGCTTGTGTTCAATAAAAATAGCAGCAAGCCACCTTTCGAGATGGCTTTCTGCCGGTGTCAGTACTAGAGGCCAGAGGAATCCAGATGCAACTGGTGGGTGTTTGTTGCCCAACTCTATGTTATAACCTCCACACTGAGGCTTCTTTAAACAGTTTTGTATGTGTGACAGTATCAGCAACTGAATGTACAGATTGCCCCTTCTCTATAAAGAAACTGTATCACAGTAGCCAAAGGTTCTGATACTTAATGCGGACAGTGAAAATTGATTACACTTGGAACTCTATGCACACTTGTAGAGAAGTTCCCTTGAAATTAAGGCTCACTGCCAAGCAAAATGTACAATCAGGCTGCAAACATGCAAAACGTACAGATTCACTCAGAATAGAACAGACAGCACAACTCTGGCTTTTGGTATTCATTACAAACACACATTTAAAACACCCATTTCATTATTAAATGCATACTTTTTAACTATTAAGAAGTAAACCATCAAGAGTTCTCATGTGTCTCAAAACCAAAACCAAACTGATGCCACTGGTTCTTGAAGGAATCTCAACAGTCTGGAAAAGTTAGACATTTAAAAGAAAAACTTCTTGTAATGTCTTGTGTTTTGATATTTTAAATCATAAACAACCTTGGATGCCTTGGCAGAAAAGTATATAAATTTAATTTGAAAAATGCAAGGAGCTAGCTTGGTCAGGCTGGTCTTTGCTTGGAGAATCACCTTTCACACATGTCCTTGATTAGACCATTGCTGCTTCTGCAGCCTAATGCATATTTGGATGAATTTGGACAATTTGTATGTACAGGGTTTGGGGGGCTTGCCTATTAGATCTGATGTCTGAGACAATGATCATGGGCAGAGTTACCCTTCCACAGAAATACCTCAACCACAGGTAATAGGGCCTGGTGGGACATGAGGAGCTTAGAACATCATGGCCTTTACCATGACCATGCTTTGACTTTGCAATGTCCAGTTTAGGGGGATATGTTCTGCCCTCTCTGATGACCATCTGCAAGCTCTTCTGGTGCATCCTGATCCAGAAGCAGCAGTCTGGACGAGCTTTTAGGGTTGTACTAGTATATTTCTGCTGGCATTTATTATTTATTTAAAACTTTTGTATGCCATCCCTTATACAAGGCATCTAGTACTATGGCATCGCTGGATATTACCCACTTCCCGGCTTCGCCTTTGTGTTTTACTATTAATGGTTTTAACTTTTAACTTTCTGAAAGATGCTATGGGTGCATCATACAAAGCAGAAAGGATGGGCAAGAATAAACACCAAAAGTATAAACTTCAAAACCAAATATCACTGGTTCAACGAACTGGGCATATTTTCAACATGCTTTCAACATAAAAATAATAGAACAATCACATACCTGCAGAACTTAATGGCCTCAGAGGTGGAAGTGGGCCCCGGTTAAAATTGCTTTGGCCTCCCCTGCTTTCATTGTAAGTGCCTCGTGGAGAACTTTGTGCGCTCCAGCTTGACCCTCTCGCTCCTTCACGGCGACTATAGTTTCCTAAATGAAAAAGCACAACTGCTAAGTCATTATAGGATTGCCCATATTTTGTAACAGTCAATTGCACATCTAAGTTAAAAGGCACTGTGTTCATTTTAAATGAGAGAACAGCACTATAGCTTAGCCAAATGGACCAAGTACTGGGGGTGGATTTGGGATGCAGGTCCTACATTTACCATGAGGTCCTGAGTGGCCTTTAGCAGTCTGTAAAATAGGAATAGTAACAAGGCTTTTGGGAGTAAGAATGAAAATGTAGAGCGGGGTGACTTCTTGTGGCCCTTTACATATTTTGGCCTACAACTAGTATTATCCCTCACCTTCCACTATGCTGAACAAGGCAAAGGCATCTGGAAGGCCACAAATTCCCCATAATGGATGTGGAGGACTTGTACAACTTGCCTTCAACCTACAGTGATGAATGTAAGTGCAGTACTACCCTGAACTTTACAAAACATGCTAGATAATCTCTCAATCCTGGTTCCTTAGGGCATAAAGTCGACCATATCCAGGACCACCAGAGGACTCACCTTTTGAAGCAGGTGGTGTGAAGAATCTATTCTGGCTGTGAAAGGCTCCTCGCCCTCCTCGGTTCCCTGAGAACCCACCACGTGATGAGATCTTCTGTGAAACTTTTGGTGGCCTCTTTGGAGGAGGAATCCCATCTGGTGGAACTACTTCTTTGCTCTCTGCAGCCACAAAGTCATCAACATGCATCGAAGGCGGCCTGCTTGTATTCTGCTTCCTCTGACGAAAGATGTCGTGGGGCCGAATGCCTTGGCCAAATGCTCCCCTGCCTCTTCCTCTAGGTGGGGGCACAATGTGGGCCCTCTTGGCAGGTTCAATGTATTCAGATTTTCCACTATGAAGGCCCAAAAGATTGGCATGATTTCATTAAGATAGCTTGTCAAGCAGGACACAAGAATAACCTCTCCAGGCACTGATATATACCAGAAAATGCAAACATTGATAAGCCTTTCACAAAACAACCACACAAAAATTCTAATGGTGTTGTTTGCACAAAACACCTCTTCTTTGTATCCTTCTTAAGCTCACATCCACATTCTCTCTATTGATCCGCATTAGCACTGATTGCTCAAGCAAGCTTTTCAGTGGCAGTTAGTTCAAACAGCTTTCTCAAAATATACTGCTATAATCTATAGCATCAAGCCTCAAAGGAAAGCCCAGAACAAATTTCAATGTCCTTTCCCCCCTTCGGTTTGACAAACAGGTGGCATGCTAAGGTAACAGGTTTTCCATGGTGGCCTTTAGTTAGGGCTCAGTTTTAACACCCTCATACCTTGAATACCAAATATATTCAGTTAATTCATAGGATGATAGCAGACATCTTATGACAACAGTTCTAATATGCTACCTTTTTCTCAGATAAACCACTTTATTATACTTCAAATTAGCCATAAAGTGCTCAGAACTCACCATGTACCTTTTAAGGTTCCTGTCAGAGTCAGTTTTCTTACTGCTGCTCTGGCACATCAGTTTACAAGGTTTTAGAGATTATTAAATTCCTCCACCAATGTAAATTCCTTTAGGTAAATTGTTAAGCTAGATCCCATTCTGGTTAGTTCCCATATTATCAATTTTTTCAAAGGAACTCTTATTACTGCCAAACCAATTTGAGCTTTTCTACTTCATAATACTGTGGTGCAATGCACATAGACCTCAGGCCATTAGGAGTGGTTCATTTCACATAAAATCAAGCTTTTAAGATATGTGCTAAAGCAGAGCAAATCATGCATTTGATCTGTTCAAATTTAGATTTCACTATACCAAAAGCTGCAAACTATAGAGTGGGAAAATCCAAATCTAATTTTATGCATGAATGAAGCCACTAGTTACCTGGAAGTTATAAATGTCTCATGTTTGTGTTTGCCAAGTTTAAAGCCTTTTGTGGTTTTTGTTCGACCAGGAGACGATGGTTCTGACAAAAACGACCTCTCCAGTTCTGCCTGCAAGTCGAAGTCACTGCATCCTTTTTCTGACAGTTCAATTAAGTCAACCTTCACCTGTAAAAGTAAAAAGGGGCTTTAAAGGGCTTCAGCCAGTGTTAGCAGTCCACCAGAAGATAGGAACCCAATGACAGAACTGATTTTCCAGCTCCTCTTGTGCTCACCAAATCTGTTCGGTAGGATTAGGGGACCTTTTAAGGCTGATCTGGAAGTTTACAGGAGGTTGACAAGAGTAATGGTAAATCTCATTGCACAAGCAGAAGCCTGCTTCTGAAACACTGGATTTAGCCACTAATTCCCCCAGCCAATATGGTGGTACTCGATATTATTAGAACAGGAAACAGTGCAGTCCAGAGCAGAAGAGGGAGAAGTCCTTGGAGAGCTTAATATAGACCAGGCCTTTCTGTTGCTTAAGGCTGCTTCACATAGTACATTTTCGCTTTTAACTACAATAAAAAAGCAAACATGCACAGACACGACCTTTTCCAGCACTCCAAGTATGGGAGAAAATGTAGGGAAGCCCTTTACTAAACCCACAACTGTTCTGCCAAGTACAGTCAAATCATGGCTCCACTATAGCAACAATACATGCCCAGGGCTCTCTGATGCCTCCACACAATGCCAATGTACAATTTCATTGCAAAAAAAAATGCAATAACTGTTCCATCCCCACATCATATGCCCAGCGCAAGTATTAAATTCAAGCCTTTTACCATGTCAAGGTCAGTTTCAATTTCTTCAGCCTGGAAGGGTGAGAACCACATAGACTTCAGCTGGTCATCCATCACATCTGCCAAGATGTATGTAGTCCTGTAACAGTAAATGTGTTTTTGATTTGTACTTATTTGCTGTCTCCTACATCAAGTTTTACTTGAGGAATAAATTTTGCTCCATTATACTGATCTATATTTCTTCTAAAACATTTCCTAAAGAACAATGGCTCTGCTGCAACTCAGTTCCCTTGCATCCTTTTCTTTGCTACTTCATTATCAAGCCCCCTTTTTGGTGAAGATAGCCTGATAGCTCAACAGGGTAGAGTCAATATCACATCTGTTAAAGATACACTAATTAATTATTTTAAGAACATATACCTGTCAAGATCACTTCTCATAATAAATGCAAAATAAATCATGGTTTCTTAGACACAAAAGCAGTAAGCAGCAAACAATGTGAGAAATAACTAGAAATAGCTGTATATGTGTTAGAGATGAAGAGACAGACAAAAATAGACTGAACCCATGCTTAGTTCAGGAAGAGAGACATTGACAGGTGATAAAAGGAAGGCTGAACTACTCAGTATGCACAAAGCTCCATTTTTACAAAGAAAAAGCCAGCTCTGAAGAACCTTTTAACAATATTGACAAAAACAAAGTGTCATGATTAACAAAGAATGACATCAACAATGCTTGAACAATCTGAATAAATTAAAGTCAACAGGTCTTAATGGCACTTAACGGCAGCTGAAGGGCAGTGCCGCTGTTCGTGGCCATGCGGGGCTGGGCTGGTGGGGGACTCGGTTGGTGGGGGGAAGTTTAATATTGTATGGGGGGGGG